CTGAGCATACCAGCTGTCTCCAGGCAAAGCACTGGCCAGCTGCAGGGGCTGCATGTTGAGCTTGAAGTTGTTTTCACAGAACACTGTTTTTACTTGGGAGAATGATGGACTTGACAGATGGGTTATTTAAGACTTCGGCATTTGGCGTATTGGATCTTAAAAATACAAAGTGAGCCCATCTCCAGGTGGGGGAGGGGAATGAAATTAAAGTCAAGTAAAAACCAGAAATTAAAGTCAAGTAAAAACCAGAAGTTTGGAAAATGTACCCACTACCTTGAACTTGAACTTTCTAATATATAAAGGTTTTTAGACATTGCTGAAAATCAATGAAGTGAATTTTTTTTTAACATTCTAATGCCATATATCAATTGTAGAAGATTTGCCTCATTCTGTGAACCAATCTTTTTTCAAATGACCAGTGCTGATGTCACAAAAACTGTGCTCCTGGGTAAGAGATCCCTTCAAAGCACATGAGAGACCAGTGAATTTTAACATAACAGTGTATGGGAAGTTTGATGATGTAGTCGCAGACTCCATATTACAACTAAGCTTTAAGGAACTGCTTATCAAATCTTGGCATAGTATCAAAAAATATCTGAAAAAAATTAAGATTTTCGTACCAGCTATGTAGCCAACCAGGTTTTCCTCATATAATTTAACCAAAACAACACAACAGGTTATAGTTGATCTTAGCCAAAAGGCCGAGAAGTGATACAAGTTACATGCAGAAGCAGATTTGAGAATTCATCTATTTTCTATTTAGCCAAAGACTAGGAATGTATAAAATTGTAAAACAATGTCATTCTTGCATTCTTGTTTAAGTCATTTTGTTTGTTTTGGAAAATATGCTAATTTTATTTTTTTAAAGTCATGCATACAGAACTGGGGTACAGGCCATAGGTACAGGGGCAGTGAGAGGATTCACCAGAGACAGAGCGGGCGGGGGGGGGAGCAGAACAGGTAGATAGACAAGTATACTGCTGTACTGCTGAGGGGAGCAGGCAAGACAGGAGAGGTCTTTTGCGCTTTAACCCATTGTGCCACCAGGAAGGACCCAAAATATGGTTACTTTAGAAGTATGTTATTTACATTAACACAGAATAATAGGTGCACTATCTTTAGTGAATAGGAATTAAATACTTTCAAATGTTCTTAGTTTTATTTTCTAGTAAGATAGGTATTAATAGATCATATCTACACTAACCAAAGCTGTTATTGAATTAAATTACTCAGTCTAAGAGTGTAAAGTGGATCTGAGACCACAAAGTCTGCAAATCCCTCCTGTATGCTATGGATGTCGTACCAGTTCTTTGCCTGCTGTTTGATGGGGTCGTGTTCTTTTTTATAAAACTGGTACCAGCAGCTGGCTAAGTCACCACACAGCACTTCTGTCTAATTGCATCTTCTCCCGTACACTGGCCAGACAAACTGTTTTCTTTTTACCCAGTCATACCAACCACTGACTGACCAAATAGGGTCACATATTTCTGCAGAGCCTCAAAATCGGTTTCTGGGTGAAAAGAAAGACAGTAGCCAGACTTTCATGAAGATAGCCCATTTCTGTTTTTTCAGATGAAACCTCAGAACCTTTAGGATTAATACTTAACTTCACAGCTACTGTACAGAGATGGTGTTTACTGGCATTCTGGGTGTGGCAGGTCCCAGACCCCCAAGTCAACACCCAGTAGCTGAGTGGACACTTCAGCTGACACACTCCAAGCCCTTGACTGCAGCCCCAGTGGAGGACAGAGCTAGTGTACCAGCAGTCTACTTCAAGTAGTTGAGCATCTTGAGCCCCAGTGTGTACTCTCAAGAGTACTCTCAAGAGTACTATCTTAATAGGGCGCCCTCAGGTTTAGGGTGTAAAGTCATCAACCTGCATCTACTAACAAACTCCTTAAAATAATCCAAAGGGACAGTTACAGTACTGTCAGCCAAGTTCTTCAAACTCTCCGGACAAGATTTATAAAACAAACCTCTGCCTGTTTAGTGCTATTCAAGGAGAGATAGCAACCCCCATCAGCCAACACAGAATATTTTATTCTCAGGACCTAGTAGCATGCTGCTTCGCATCAGGGGGTTAGTGGCTGTGTCTTAACCCTGCCTGCACGTCAGTCTTGCTCACACCTACTGGATCAGGCTCTGTTGGGGGTTTTCATTGTTTTTAAAGACTCTTCAAGTGCCTGGAGCTACCATATTAAGCCTTGGCTCCAACAAAAAAAAAAGCATAAAGACTCAGAAACAGTTTGTAAAAAAACACCTTCACAAAAACCAGCATACCCCTGAAGGGGTGGCTGGGTGGCCGGGCGCCCGAGCCTGCTGAGCGGAGCAGCAGCCAAGAGCAGGGTTTGGTGTTTACACACTCAAAATCGGCTCTGGGTTGTCACAGCAACTCCGGAGGCAGTTCTTCCTTCCCCTCAGCGGCCTCATTCCAGGCTCTGCTATTCTCTGTTATGGTCTTGATGATCTGGGTAACCTGGCCTACTGTTTCCTTTCATTTTTCTCAGTCTCTCCTTATCACATGTTCAGTAGTGTGCAGTAACGCCTCACCCAAGTGGAACTCAACAACTTCCATTTCCCCCTGATATTCCTAAAAAACAGGAGTAGCAGAAGAGGGCCTGGAGGCGGGACAGCATCCCTGGGTCTACACACTGACTATCAGGAATAAAGAAAATGCCCAAATCCCTTGCTCTTGCTCTCTCATCTTGTTTTTTTTTTGTTTGTTTGTTTTGTATTGTTTTACATTTTTAAAACAGTAAAACGTACAATTAATAAGAGGCGGTTTCTCAAACGTACAATTAATAAGAGGCAGGGAAGGAATTGGCAGGAACACTGAAAGCTCAAGAAGTGACTTGATCCGAATAGCAAGAAAAAAGGCAAAAAAGCTGTAAAAAAATGGATACAAGAGCTCAGAATGCAGGACAGTGTGGGCTCTCCGAGTCCAGGTGAACTGTTTTATATACCTCAGTAGGCTTTAGAGCTGTAATGACTTTCTAGAATGATTATGATCATGAGCCCTGTGTGGGGTCGTTTTTAATGTCAAGCACTCCAAATGGGTAAGCATTCTGATGCTTAAAGAAGTAAATTCGGGCCCTCCCTGGTGGCACAATGGGTTAAAGCACAGCACTGAGAAGCTAAAGCCAGTTCAGGATAAGTTCTATCCCTGCCCTGGAGGTGACCCATAGGCCCGGCAGACCTCTCCTGACCCGCCCATTGCTCCCTCCAGCTGTGTACTTTGTGGATCTGCCTGTTCTCCCCACTCTGTCTTTGATGAATCCCCTCACCACCCGGTACCTCTGGCCTGTACCTCAGCTCTGTATGTATAATCTTTAAAAAATAAATAAATTCTTAGCTATTCAAAACCTGTTCTAGTCTTCTAGCTAGTGAAGATCTGTGCTGCTCGCTTTATCTGTTCATGTATACCCCATTCCTGAAACATTAAAAGAAAAAAGTAAAAGGTTTAGGGCAGCTGACTCTTACTGTTTACTTTCTAGTGCCTGCCTGTGGCTTTAGCAGTGCTTGCTGCTAACCCGGTCTTTTATCCCTGCCAGTGATCTGCCTGCATGATACATAAGAGATGTGATCCTATGTCTTTCATTCATCTAATTCTGAAAGGTTCATAGATGTCCCCTCTCCCTTGTAGCCCTAGATCATTTTATCCCAACCATTTCATATCATACCCTCTGTCATTCTATGCACCATAAATAGAATAGCTGGCATAAAGATTTGTCAAATGAATGCATGAACAAGTAATAAACAAGATGTCTATTAAGTGTTTGTGCAAAGCCACAAATTTCATAAAGAGCTTAACCCCTTATGAGAACAGCAGTCAAAACCAGTAAATTCTAGCACCAACAAAACCCAAATAATTGATAGGCTGTTACGTGAAAAAACTAGAATACCTAAGTACATGGACTATGATATAACCTAAAAAAGAAAAAAAAAAGTGGTGGGGAAAAGACTAGAAGAACATTAGTCAACTGTAACATGATTATCCATTTACTTACTCACTTAATAAATAATGTATTTGCTTAATAACTAACTTGTTTGTGTACAGCACTCTCCTAAGCATTGAAGTTATCCAAACTCAACTTAACTGTATTGCCACTAGTAAACAAACTGCAGGTTATAATTTAAAGCAAAAGAACTGCAGCTAGTGTAACCACGACCAATTCAAGAACACTGGTGATACACCAAATGGTGGATGAAGTAACCTTCCCAGAAAAGCACAAGGATTCCAGTTCCCCACCCGGGCCACAGAGTGCTGGGACCGTTGCCCTGCACACTAGCCAGGCTTCTTCTCAGAACCCTGAGAGTGCGTCTTCAGTGAGTGCCTGGGACACACGGGTTTCGGCTCAGGAATACCAGGTGTGAGGGGCCCCTTTAATGCAGTCAGCTGAGCTTGGCCGTGCACAGGGCAGGTCCACCTTGTAGCCTGGTCACATCCCTTGCACCAGGCTGAATCATGGCTTTTGAAGACATTTTCCCAGAATTCCTAAGGAGGCTTGACCATTGGTCACTGCCCACCCCAGGGTGGGAGGCGTATCTGTGGCATCCTGCAGGTGCTGCGCGTTGTACAAACTGCCGGCGATCGCTGCTCTGTAGCCTGGTTTTCTTATTCTCATCCTCTTAGCACTCAGTAACCTGACATTCAGCTGGGACAGGTAATGAAGTTACAGTCAGCCATCAAGGGGTAAAATGAGTGTTTCTTACTATGGTTAGCACCCCCAATGCCTGTGAAAATTCCAATATCTAGTGGCCTGTAAGTAGGATCTAGTCTTAGTTGCTAGGTTTGTTTTGCCTCATATAAAATGAGTATTTTCCAATTTTAATTTGTATTCACAAAGAGATTTGGATTCTTAGGGGTACTGTTATCCTGGTCTCTATTGACATCCATGTTTTCCTCTCCGAGCTGAATTGCATGCCAGGTAAACTTCCAGAACAAAACTGGAATCATACCAGGCACCAGTAACCCTTTTCTGATCTTTCTCCCCTTCCAGGTTACCCCTTTGCTTTGTTTTATCGACGTTACCTTTTCTACAAGGACAGCTACCTCATCCATCTCTTCCACACCTTTACAGGCCTCTCAATTGCTTATTTTAACTTTGGTAAGTGAGCTGCGATTAGAGAGGACATGGGGAGGAGCAGACAAATTCCCTTGAGAGAATTTGCTGGATATCGAAGTTAGGACACCCTGCTGCAAAATGGGTTGTTATGGACAGGACAAGCTCCATCCCTTTATGTACATCCTCTCCAAGATGGAAACATTTTGAGCATGGTCACCCCTGCCCAGCCCCATCAACAGACAGTCCCACTTGCATTTCTGCTCTTAGTAAATCTCACCCCTTCCTCCAAGACACATATTCTTTAAATTTCTATTTAGCAGGAAATATCCCTACACCAAAGAGTCCCCTTTATCTGTTCATGTTTAGAAGTTTCAGGAAGGGTGGGAATGCAAAAGAAACTAGCATGTGCTCCCTTCTCTGCAGGAAACCAGCTCTACCACTCCCTGCTATGTATTGTGCTTCAGTTCCTCATCCTTCGGTTGATGGGCCGCACCGTAACTGCCATCCTCACTACCTTTTGCTTGCAGATGGTAAATGTCTTTCCCTCGGTGAAAAGCCTTTAGTGATAGGACCAGGAGAAAGGAGAGATGAAAGAATCCTTTAGCTCACAGAGCAGGAAGGAAGAAATGGTAGAACAGAAAAATTAGTACTTCCCCATCTCCTAGGGCTACCTGCTTGCTGGATATTATTTCACAGCCACTGGCAACTATGATATCAAGTGGACAATGCCACATTGTGTTCTGACCTTGAAGCTGATTGGTGAGTGAGTCACTGCCCTCCCCTTTTATACCTAGGCCTCCCCTCCCCATCTGACCATAGATGTACTCCTGGCTACACTCAGTCCACAGGCCACATCCTCAGTGTCTTCTCCCTCTACACTACCCACCCCTTCTCTCTCTGCTCAGGTTTGGCTGTTGACTACTTTGATGGAGGGAAAGATCAGGTAAGTACCCACTCCTCCAGAGAGGTTAAGGATTTCCACCTGAGGGCATGAGAAAGGCTGTTGTCCCCCCAGGATAATCCAAGCACCAGGGCCAGAGCCTTGCCATCCTCCCCAGCCTGTGTGACCTCCATTTTAGATACTACTGAGCAGGGGTCAACAATTCTCATTTCCTGGGCCCCGGCCCTAGCACAAAGTCCAGAGAGCAGCTCCAGCAGCCATCACTGCTCAGCAGATTCCCATCCATGTGAAGCGACTTCTTCCTTCCGTGCATTCCCCTCAGAGGCTATTTGAAGGCTATTTGAATCGTCAGGGGGACACCAGGATGAGGACACTCAGACTAGCTCTTGGGGGCCGAGTCGAGGTGATCCTGAAGTATTCATTCTGTTCTCGACATAGAATACCTTGTCCTCTGAGCAACGGAAATATGCCATACGGGGTGTCCCCTCCCTGCTGGAAGTTGCTGGTTTCTCCTACTTCTATGGGGCCTTCTTGGTAGGGCCTCAGTTCTCAATGAACCACTACATGAAGCTGGTGCAGGGACAGCTGACCGACTTACCAGGGAAGATACCAAACAGGTAATTGCCCCTCTTGGTCACAACCTCTACCTACCTGTCTCACCCCCATACAAATGCACTTTGAAGTGGCTTTCCTGTGGGCCAGTGTGGCCATTCTCCAGGAAACCGACTCACAGGCCTGTGGTAACTGCTCGCTGCCAGTAGGGGGCTCTTTTCAGCTTACTTTGCTGCCAGCCATCTGTTCTTACCCTGTGGCACAAACATAAAAACTCACTTTTATGCCACAGCTTTGGGCCTGAATCAGTTGAGTTCCTGCCTCCAGAGCTTATTTTCTTATTTTAAAAGTATTGTTGAAAATACTTTTTTTCTTAAAGATACATTTATTTATGCATACAAGAACTGGGGTGTAGGCCAGAAGTAGGGGTTATGAGGATTCACCAGAGACAGTGGGGAGCAGAACATGCTGAGGGGAGTAGAGTGTGGGTCAGGAGAGGTCTGTTGCGTCATGTGGGTCACCTCCCTGGCTGGGGATCAGACTTGTGCTGTAGTGGCTGCAGATAGCTTCATAGTGCTGTGCTTTAACCCCTTGGGCCACCAGGGAGACCCTGTTGAGTATAGTTAAATGAATGTAAATATCATAATAGGAAATGTGAAGTTACCATTAGACTCCCTGTGCTGAACTCTGGCCCAGCCTGTGTTTGAGCATCAATTTAACCAGGACTGGAAGAAGCAGATAATTGTTCATTATCATTCTCCACTATGTTAGGTTTTCTAGTGTAGACAGAGAACTCTGTTGAAGCCTTGATCAGCAGCATCCCTCGGGGAGACCACCCTGTCTTTCCCTGTGCCTTGTGGGGCTCACATTCTCCATTCCTCATATCCAGCTACATAGCAACTGAGTGTGCACTTTGGGCCACAGAGCTACTCATTCCATTCCAAAGGGGGCATCTGCTCTAAAATGCTTCTCTCCGGGGCCCTCCCTGGTGGCGTAAGGGGTTAAAGTGCAAGCACTGCGTACTAGCTGAAGGCGCTTCAGCACAAGTTCAATCCCTGGCTAGGAAGCTGGCCCACATGGTGTGACAGACTTCTCCTGACCTGCCTTCTGCTCCCCACTCTGTCTCTGGTGAGTCCTCTCACCTCCTGCACCTCTGGCTTATACCCCAGTTCTGTCTGCACAAATAAATCTTTAAAAATAAATAAAATGCTGGCCCTCCCTGGTGGCGCAGTGGGTTAAAGCACTGTACTAAGAAGCTGAAACCACTTCCGCATGAGTTCGATTCCCACCTGCCCCGGAGGTGACCACATGGTGTGGCAGACCTCTCCTGACCCGCCCGCTGCTCCCCTCAGCAGTGTACTTCGTTGATCTGCCTGTTCTGCTCCCCACTCTGTATCTGGTGAAGTCTTTCGCCACCCCTGAGTCTCTGGCCTGTACCCCAGTTCTGTATGCACAAATAAATAAATCTTTAAAAAAATAAATAAATAAATAAAATGCTCCTCTCCATATTTTAAGGTTAGAGGGTGAAGAATGTCCTTCTGCCCGTTGTGACCCTACTTAATCCTTTCCAGCACCGTGCCTGCCCTCAAGCGCCTGAGTCTGGGCCTCATCTACCTGGTGGGTTACACCCTGCTCAGCCCGCACATCACAGAAGACTATCTGCTCACAGAAGACTACGCGGTGAGTGGCTACCACAGCAGAGAGCAAGTGCAGAGGAGGATCCCTGTGGAGAGCCAGGAAGTGCATCCTACCACCCACAGTGCATGTCAGTTTTGCTCTAGCTCTGAGAGTTGATGTCAGCAGGCCAGGACATGGTCATCAGCCAGCTGGGACCTTCGTGGGCACAGGGCTGTGCCAGGTGCACACTCTGCACCCCTCCCCTGCCCAGGAGCTGCTCTAGCCCGGGAGCCTAGCAGCTCCCCAGCCTGTTCTCACTGTAGACCGGGCTGCTGCTGGGGAACTCAGAACCCAGGTAGGGGAGGGCGAGCTTTGCCCCAGCCAGTACTTGCCCCCATACCCTGGCCAGGTCTCCTCACGTTGACTCTGAGTGTGCATGTGTACAGTCCCCCAAAGGGAAAACAGGCATAAACTAAGTCAAACAGAAATAAGCTTTTGGAGGATAACACCAATTAGGGATTGTGAGAGAGGAAGAAAAAGGTGGGTAAATCGGAACAAATGGGGCCAACAGTGTGAGGGCTGAAATCAGGCTTTCGACAGTGAGGCTCAGGCAGTCAGTGCATGCAGGTTAGTTTTTCTGTGCTGCACACCTGACACGTTATAATGTAGCGTTTCCTCCATTTTTAAAAACTGTCTTAATAAAAGTTCCCCAGGAGCAACTGTCCCAAATGCTCAGTGCTTTAGAAGAGTTAAGGATAGCGGCGTCTTTGGGACTTGGAAAGAAAAGGTGCTGAATGGCTGTTCACGGGGAAGCCTGGTCCCAGTGGCCGGTTTTTTTTTTTTTTTTTTTAAAAAGCCGTGAAGCAGGGAGGCAGCCACGTGTTGCAGAGCATGGAGGGGGATGTGCCTCACGGGCAGCTCTCTGAAGCACACGCTCTTTCTCCCCCAAGAACCACAGTTTTTGGTTCCGTTGCATGTACATGCTGGTCTGGGGCAAGTTTGTGCTGTACAAATACGTCACCTGTTGGCTGGTCACAGTGAGTAACGATGAAATGGGGTCCTATGTAGACAAGGAGGGTGGCGGGAGGAGGAAAGTGGCACAGTCTCGAGCTGTCCCCTCCCTCAGGAAGGAGTCTGCATTTTGACGGGGCTGGGCTTCAATGACTTTGATGAAAAGGGAAAGGCCCAGTGGGACGCCTGTGCTAACATGAAGGTGTGGCTCTTTGAAACCACCCCACGCTTCACTGGGACCATCGCCTCCTTCAACATCAACACCAATGCCTGGGTGGCCCGGTAAGCCGGGGGGTGGCAGGACCATGCCCAGCTCCTTCCTCTCACTGCTTTCCCGATTTAGGGGCAAGAATACAGTAGGTCACTTATCTCTACTTTTCCTGCTTTGGGGGAAATTTCTCGTCTGTTGCTCTCACGTTTACTCATTGCTGCCGTATTTGAAGAAGCAACTGTGTGTGCGTAATCCCAGCTCTGTCACTGCCCTGCTTATGTTCATCGGTCCCACCAGGGCATCCGCAGCCCGAGTTGTCTGCCCATCGTCACCCCTGCAGCGGCAGCATGCAGTAGTAATAGCTTCCCGTGATCACCCCGCTAAGCTGTAGGGCCGTTTTCTGACTCTGAAACCTGAGTCACCAAGTCCACTGCCCTCATCGCTGATGCTCCCACTTGTTCCGCACCCCAGTGGGAGCTAGAGACCTCCACTGCACTCCTTAGGGCCCTGACACAGAGGCAAGATGGAGGCGACAGGGTGAGGTACAAGAGCAGTCTGAGGCTCACCCTTAACCCAGCCCCTTTTCTCTAGTTACTTCTTCAAACGACTCAAGTTCCTCGGGAACAAAGAACTGTCCCAGGGTCTCTCCTTGCTCTTCTTGGCCCTCTGGCACGGCCTACACTCAGGGTACCTGGTCTGCTTCCAGATGGAGTTCCTCATCGTTATCGTGGAGAGACAGGTAGGCCTGCAGGGCGCTGGGTGAGGGAAAGGCGAGAAGAAACAAGACACCATGACCTCTCCCCTGCCCGCGCAGGCCTCCAGCCTCATTCGAGAGAGCCCCCTTCTGAGCAACCTGGCTTCCATCACTGTCCTCCAGCCCTTGTACTACTTGGTGCAGCAGACCATCCACTGGCTCTTCATGGGTTACTCCATGACCGCCTTCTGCCTCTTCACGTGGGACAAGTGGCTGAAGGCAAGTGAGGGCAGGAGACCAGGCACCTGGTGCAGGGGGCTGGTCCACGCCCTCCCTCTGGCCCTCCCTTTGCCTCAGTGGCCCCTCTCTCCCACAGGTGTATAAATCCGTCTATTTTGTCGGCCACATCCTCTTCTTGAGCCTCCTAATCCTATTGCCTTACGTTCGCAAAGCAATGGTGCCAAGAAAAGAGAAGTTAAAGCGAATGGAATAATCCATTTCCCTGGTGAGCAGACATCTAAGACCACGCTGCCAGGTCATGGCCATGATGAGGGGGTGGGACAGACAGCACTGAAGGTCGGGGGCAACCGCTAGCCTGGCTTCTGGGGAGCAGTGTGGAGCACTGACCAACGTGGGTGGCAGAGGCTGGGCTCCAGGAGTCACTCAGTGGCCTCACCGCGGGCTTTCTCCTGCAGGTGGCCTAGAGCAGGACTGGCGCAGGAACGACGTCTCCCCTTTCACAGCACTCCGCCAGAGACCATAGCAGCCAGGAGCGGGAAGACGTGGCACGCCCAGTGCCTCTCCTGCCAGCCAAGTCTTTGTTTGGGGCCAAAGGGGAAACTCTTGTGGGTGGAACAGAGGGGCCCCCGTTTGTCCCCTCTGGGCTCCCCCATGCACGTTGCCTTATCTCTCCCCCTCTAGCCAGGAATCTGTTGTGTTTTCTTCTGCCAATTTACTATGATTGTATATGTGCCGCTACCACCACCCCCCCTATGGGGGGGAGAGGAGGGGTACAAGGCCCTGCCTGCTCCACTTTTTCTACCTTGGGACTGTACCAGATAAAATCACTTCTGTTTGTTCAGTTTTTTCATTGCTAGCATTGCTGGCTGCTTTTTTTCCAACACAGTTCTCATGCTCGTCACTAATGAAATGAGCAGGGCCCTTTTCCTGTAGAATACTGAAATGAGCTCAGAAGTGAGCTGAGGCCTGTCTGCAAACCCCAGAACCAAACTGCAAACACTGTAACCCCATGTCATTCCCCGGAGACTTGAGTCACCACTCAATACCGCTAGATACTGCTGGGTTTAAGATCCCCAAAGGAAGAGTTTTGCAAGAACAGTATTTATAGGATGAGCAAACAGCAAACGTGCGGCCTGGCTTCCCAACCCCATAGTCTCGGTGCAGGAAGGTCACCTCCCAACCTTTGTTGGAGAACAGCCCCAAGGAGGCAACGTGAGCAGTCTCTATGTTTCAGAATACAGCTCTGTCAAATGACCCCCCAGACTTCTTCAAAAGCTGTTGTCACTTTTGCACAGGTAAGGGCCGCAGAAAGGGGATAGTTGCTGATGGACACCATCTTCTCCGTGTACTCCACCTTGACCTAGAAAGAACAGTTCTGTCAGCCCACTCTCGCTCAATAAGAGACTCAGGCCCTCCTCAGAATAGGAAAAACAGAACTGGTCTCTGAAGCCTGCACTAAGCTTCTGCTCAATGAATATGCGCGCTGAGCTGACCTTACCTGGCCGTGGGCAAAGGCCCCCACCACAAAAACAATAGGGTCACTGCTGGGCACCAACTCTCGCACATCACTGACAGCTGAGACGGAGAAAGAAGTGCCAATCTTCATGCATCCAACTGGAAAGTGATCTGATACAGGATTCTTGATTACCTGGAAGAAGAAAAGAATCAGCCCCAGGAACATTCTCAAATCCTACCTCCAACCAGCAGTTTTAATACCTCACCTTCAAGAGCTTCTGAGGGCCATCAGCTGCTCGAACACTAAGTTTGTGTAAAAGTTGAACTAGAGAGAGACCCAAAAAAAAAAAGTTTAGTGAACTCTGTTGTTCAGTCCAGTAATCTAAGCAGAAAACCCCTATGTCAGGGGGAGGGCTCCGGTGTTGTGCCAGCCATGCTGTGCTGGGAGATGTTGTGAACAAGCTGCCATCAGGCTCTATCTACCAGCTGCACTGGGAGGGCCTCGCTCTCGCCCTTTTCCCTCAGTCAGGAATCCCTGTTAAACCTGTACAAGCAAAGATAATGGCCAAGAGCCCTTCTGTAGCAAAAACTGAACCCCCACTACTAAAAAAAATTGCACATTTAATTTATCCCTTTTCCTCTCTATTTAAATACGAAGGCTCCTCACCCATGAGGCCACAGAAGCGGTCAAAGGTCCTGGGAATTCGAGTCTGAGGGTTCACTTCAATCAGCACATTCTTCTGTGTGTGGATGTAAACCTGTAGCAAGCCAGCACGGTTCAGGGGACTGTCCATCAGCATCAGTAAACTCTGAAGGAAGCAGAAAAGGCACAGTTAAAACCAGAAGTAGCTCGCAGCTGCCTCGGCTTCCCCACAAAGGCTCAAGGGGTATGGCGCTGTGCCTGGAGTCACCTGATGAGTGATGTCTGGTCTCACTTCCCCAGGGTCCCGTCCATTCTTTAATAATATAGATTTGTGCTTGTCACAGTTGAGTAGCTCATACGTCTTCCCGGCCTGAAGGACAGGGGACAAGATGGACAGCAACTTAAGCTTCTCTGACCTAGCTAAGCAGTCCCCATAGCAACATCTACAGAACCAGAAACACTACAGGTGGGAACCAGCGAGCCCTTGGGAGGATTACTATGGCCATATTTGCCCTCCTTTCCTTCCCTCGGCAGCTGGCACAGAGGGGAAAAGAAGACACAGCCTGTGATCTCTCATGATTAAAATGGGTTTAAATAAAACCTGGTAGCACAGGGGTTAAAGTGTCAGCACTATGAAGCTACTGCTAGCCATTGTGGCCTGAGTTCTATCCCAGGCCAGGGAGCTGACCCACCTGGAGCAGATCTCACCTGTCTTACCAGGTGCTCCCCTCAGCAGTGTATTTCAGTGGATCCGCCTGTTTCAGTAGGATCCCCTACTCTGTCTCTGGTGATTCCTCTCACCTACACCCCAGTTCTTGTATGCATAAATGATAAAAGGAAATATTTTAAATAAGTAAAACCTGTGGCTATTAGGCAAAGCAACTGAGAAATTCTGGAACAAGGCAGAAGTCAGGTTAGCAAACAAGGCTGCACAGGAGCATTATGTGTATACCGGGCAAAGGATGCTTATGAGAACATGCAATAAAGGAAGAGATGCAGGTGTGAACAGGAAGAGGTGTGAACATGTTGGCAGTGCAGGGGGTAGTCTAATCAGGAATGTTTCTCAGAAGTCAACAAGGATTGTTGCCAATTTTAAGATAAGCATATAAAAGGTATGGGTGAGATAAGAAGCCAAAATGTAAAGGAAATGATACTGGAAAAGTGCAAATAAACATTGAAGGGCCATGACTATATATGAAACTATAAACTGCAGAATCATCAGCTTCCAAACACAAAGAAGTAATTGTGGAATGTGAGACTATTATTCTAGCAAGTGTACAGCAGCTAGATTTTAAAGATCTACCTAGAATGAGTACCAACTAAAAGAAATAGTTGCAATTATTTGGAGTCCTAAGGAGGATTAATTAAGATGATCAACAAACCTAAAAGCATTAAATACAAATACAGGCTTTAAAGGAATTTTTACATATCAACAAAACACTGGTTTATGCCTGGCAACATATTTGAGACATGTTAACTCCCAAAAGTTTGGAGGAAGAGTGATTAAAAACTTCAGAATTAACAGCTGAATTAACATGACACAAGATGTTACTAGCTAAAATAACAAGACAGAGAGTAAGCAAAGAACTAAGACCCTTGGGCCATTAGTTTTCAAGAAAAAGAACTTATTACTAGAAGAATCCCATTTCCACCTTTTAGTACCAAGGTTTGGTTTTATAAGTTGAGGGTGTAAAGGTTGACAATGTAATTTTTCTGTTGGGGGTTGTGGTTAATAAGCTTGAAAACTACTAACTAGAAACTGCTGAGAATGAATACCATGTGTATTCATTTTCTGTAATAGGTACTGAAAGTCAAAGGAGGAGGTGGGTTCCCCCCCCCCTTTTTTTTTTTTTTTTTGGTTTTTTTTAGTTATTTATGCATACAAGAACTGGGGTGTAGGCCAGAGGTGCGGGGGCTGAGAGGATTCACCAGAGACAGTGGAGAGCAAAACAGGCAGATCTACTGAAATACACTACTGAGGAGTACTGAGGAGACAAGCAGGCTGGCCAGAAGAGCTCTGCCTGACATGTGGGTCAGCTCCCTAGTGGGGGATCCAATTCATGTCACATAGCTTTCTAGTAGAGGAAACAGTGAATGAATAATCACATGAACATTAAACTCAAGTCAATATAAATATGAAGGAAGGGTAAATGGTTTGTTTATTAAAGAATTGTAGCAAGAGAACCTGACTTATACCAGGAGGGGAGTCAGCTTATGAGGAAGTAACATTTAACCTAATTGAAAAACGAGCAGTATTACAGAGATTCAGTAACTTACATGAATAAACATGAAGTGGGAGTTAATGAGGCAAAAAGCTGAGTAACAGGTGCTTCCAGTTAAAGAGCATAAAGTGCAATGGCTTTTAAGGCGTAAGAGTGCTTAAAGAGCCTAAAGAACGCTAATGAGGCTGGAGTCTAGGGAATAAATGGTGAGAACAAGACCAGGTGAGGGTGGCCGAAATAAGAGGTACCAGCACAAAGGAAGCAAGAGATAACAGTACAAAAGATTTCAGCCAGCTATGAATTTTTCACCCTAGTAGAGTGATTGATGACATTCTGACTGCTATTCTTACACAACATGCTCTTGAAGCTTTAATTTGGCCATGATCTTTTCAACTCACTAGGTTACAAGTGATAAGATATTATTCTAAACCTTACATATCAATATATTTAATCCTCTCAACAGTGGTTGAAAGTAAAATGGAAAAGAATCACACCACACCACACCACACCACACCACACCACATGGAAATGTCCTACATACTAAGCACTTTCATTACAAACCCCTTCTGTGGTTCACTATGTACTAAACCACTGTTATGAGGACCAAAGTTATTTTCTCAAGTTCACATAAAGTAAGTGTAAAAACCAAGATTTAAATCCAGGTTTTCTAAATCAGTGCAATTTATTCTGAATTTACTCACTGAACAAGTTTGGCTCTAAAGAGTTAGAGTTATGAGAGAGAAGGAAAACACTGCATGATTTTTTAAAATAGGGAACTGCTGGGTTTAAAATAGGGAACTGCTAGATAAAACATTAAATGAAAACCTGAACAGTTTTGAAGAAAGATATAAAAAGCTGATAGCAGACACCCTTTAACTAAAATAGGAACGTTCTCAGCAATTAAAGAGTGGACAGAGACTACAGTAACCTACTAGTTTGTCCTTTACTCAGTAACTTGTCTTGGGATGTAGAAGGACGCACGGACGAACCTCTCCGCCCCTTAGATTACCTCCACAGAATCTTGGGTAAATCAACTGAAAACAAGGATGTGACGAGTGTCACAGGATTCAAGAAGGGAGAAAAGCACTGCCAACTAACTCAAGGTTGCTCCAAAAGCAACCTTGATTTTCTCCATCCACACTAGTCCGATAGCCGCATGCCAAGTGGTCCCATCCTCTGTGGAGCTACAAAACCATCGCTTTGCCCCCAGACTACCTTGACTGTTTCCAGGCTAGCCCCTTCCAGCACCACAATGAGCCTTCGGCCTCCGATCTTGCTTCCCGCCACGAATCGAGGTCGCTTCGGTGCCACAGCATCCCAGTCCTGTTCTTGGTCCGCGGCGCGCCGCTCACGAGGTTGGAATTCACCACTGGGCGCAGCCATGTTGCAACCGGACCGGAAGTTGCTCTACACTTAAATTAGAACCTCGCGCTCGCTCTCTTCCCAGCCTTACTTCTGGCTGCCATCTTGAGAGCGGGCACTTGAAAAGAGCGCTGGCTTGGCGCCTGACGCTTCCGAAGCCATTGCGGGAGGCAGAGTTCCAGACAGAGGCGGGACTTCCGGGTGCGTGCTTCCTGTGCGCGAGGCTCGGGGCCGCAGTGGGCGGGAGCGCGGAGGGTTCAGATGGGAGTGCACTTCCGGTGCCCTTTCTCCCGCAAGCACCCGGGCCCGGACCCTCGTGCGACGGGTGTGATCCCGAAGCTGGAGTGGGGCTGAGGTGGGCCGGCACCCCCTTCTGACCTCTGGTGCCGCCGGCCCCAGGATCGGACATGGCCCAGAACTTGAAGGACTTAGCGGGACGGCTGCCCTCCGGGCCCCGGGGCATGGGCACGGCGCTGAAGCTGCTGCTGGGTGCCGGCGCCGTGGCCTACGGCGTCCGCGAGTCGGTATTCACCGGTGAGCTACCTCCGCCCGCTCTCCGGATTTCTCACGTCCTTCCCCAGGCCCCCTGCCCTGTCCCGCCAGGTTCCCGCGCTCCCTTAGTCCCTCACCCTCCCCACCAGAACCTAGCACGTACTCGGCACGGTAGCCTGACCTGATCCCCACACCTCTTCCGACAGTGGAAGGCGGGCACAGAGCCATTTTCTTTAATCGGATCGGTGGAGTGCAGCAGGACACCATCCTGGCCGAGGGCCTTCACTTCAGGTAATGGCGGGCAGAGCGGACTGACCCTGACCCCTTCACCCTTGGACGCTCACCAGCCAATGACTTTATAGGGGGATTTGCAGTGATACAGCCCTGCTCTTTTCCCACTCCATCGCCCACGACTGTGAGTGCTGCCCCGAACTGTAGCAGCATGTAAAGTTGACCCAAGGGAGAAGAGACTCACCCCTTGTCCTTGTTTATTTGGAAGAGCAGGCCAAGAAACACGTGGCAAGAGCAAAACTAGTGAAACTACAGTCTGTTAATACCTGTCTCTGTTCCCTTCCCTCCAGGATCCCCTGGTTCCAGTACCCTATCATCTATGACATTCGGGCCAGACCCCGAAAAATTTCTTCCCCCACAGGCTCCAAAGGTAGGTTTGGGTCCTTGGCTGTTGCAAGTAAATTAAGGGAGCCTGGCCAGGGACCCTAGGAAAATGTGTTGGGGCACTAATGTGAGTGTACGTTTTTACTGACTATTCTTCCCCCCCCCCCATTGTAGACTCAGTGAGAGCATCCATTACTGTATTTGTCTGCCTCGCTGCCTAGATCAGAACCTTGTTTGAAATGTTTTTCCGAATTCCTCAAGTCATTACATCCACTGTATGCCCTGTCCAGAGGAACATGGCCCCACCCTTCACTTGTGCACCTGTTCCCTCCTAGAAGCTGTGCCTTTGAAACTCCCAGACCCCTTACTCATGCACACACAGACACTACACTGAGGCAAGTATTTCACCTGTCATGTACTTTTTGTACAGTTTTTCATGCCACAGTCACTCACTGTCTAAACCCTAGACCCTGGGAAAAGATTCATAAAACTCAATCCTTATTCTCAGTTCTTACAGTCTAGTAAGAGGCAGGTGACTATGGCATGGCACAACATCGCCCTCACAGAGGTTGCACAAAGCGCAGTGGCAGAAAGAGGGATTAGCTTAACTGATGGAGTGGTAGGTAGAGAAAACTTCCCAGTGGATGAGAGTGCACGTGGCCTTTGCCAGGTCACATCTTGTCACTCTGATTACTCCTTTCCGCACAGGGATGCCAGACTGCGTACGGTTGCATTCGGCATGGAGGAAAGCACAAGAGAAAGAAAATGCTTGGGGAAGGGTGTTGGGTTGGAGCTAGTTGAGGCTCCCCAGCCTCGACCAGCCACTACAGACTTCTGTCTTAGACTTGCAGATGGTGAACATCTCCTTGCGTGTGCTCTCTCGACCTAATGCCATGGAGCTTCCCAGCATGTACCAGCGCCTAGGACTCGACTACGAAGAGCGAGTGCTGCCGTCCATTGTCAACGAGGTGCTCAAGAGTGTGGTGGCCAAGTTCAATGCCTCCCAGTTGATCACCCAGCGGGCCCAGGTCTGACTCTAGCTCCCATCTCCATGATAGCATTTTCCTTCCAAGACCAAGATTCTGGGCATTAGGAAAGGCAGCTTGGTAGAAAAGACTTGTGAGCCTGGTTCCACTCCCACCTAGAAGCTATTCTAATGACTGCTGTGGAAACAGAGCCAAGACAGGGATCTGGGGCAGTTGGTGTGCAGGAGCAGAGGAGAAAACCGTATCAGAGTCTAGGGTGCTTGTTAGAGCGGAAGGTGAGTGAGTGTCGCACTGTAGGGTGTTCACGTCTCCCCTCTGCCTGTCCCGTCAATCAGATGAGAAGATCGGACCAAGTCCTTTCCAACCAGGTGCCCCGCGAGCCCCTAAGGAGATTTGGTTTAGTTTAAGGAAAATGGTTTTTCACCATTTTCAGGAGAGCTGGTATTCAGAAGACACAGCAATGCCTTCCTATGGATCTTCAGTCCCCTCACTGCCAATCCCTTCCCCTCACGTGTCCCCAGGTGTCCCTCTTGATCCGAAGGGAACTGACAGAGCGAGCCAAGGACTTCAGCCTCATCCTGGATGATGTGGCCATTACAGAGCTGAGCTTCAGCCGAGAGTACACAGCTGCTGTGGAAGCCAAGCAAGTGGGTGAGTTACCAGAGCAGAGGGGCGGGGGTGTCTTGAGGATGCGGGAGGGTCAGGTTCTTGGCCCCGCACACCTGTGACCCTCTGCTCCTCCTCCCCACCCCAGCCCAGCAGGAGGCCCAGCGGGCCCAGTTTTTGGTAGAAAAAGCAAAGCAGGAGCAGCGGCAGAAGATTGTGCAGGCCGAGGGTGAAGCCGAGGCTGCCAAGATGATATCCTTCTGCTGGAGAGTCCTCAGAGCGTCTTGCTTCCCTCAGCGGGCCGACTGATGAGACTAAGGCGAATGCGACTTTGTGCTCCGGTCCCGCGCCCTAGGCGGTAGCGGTTTCAAGTGGCATCTGAAATCTTAGTGGGGTACCTGAGACCTGGCTCCTCGCTGTAAGGCAGAGCGATAGCACAGTGGCCTTGCCTTCGTTTTGCTGCTGCCCCCAGTTCCTGGCAGCTGCCCGCAGGGGGGCCCACAGACGGGGACCAAACTAGGACCGAGCACAAATCCTCTGAGCGCAACCTTGGATCTGACAGCCCAGAGAGGGTGTTGAGGGGAGTAGAGAAGATGGAGTTAGGGATGGAAACCCAGCCTTGTTTAAGCCCTTAACCCCACCTTCCCACCTGGGAGAGGCATTGAGCAAGAACCCAGGTTACATCAAGCTGCGCAAGATCCGGGCAGCCCAGAACATCTCCAAGACGGTGAGTAGGGGGCCCGGACTCTTGAAGGCTGCCTTTCGGGACTTGTTTTCAGTTCAAGCATCTTAGAGTAAGGAACTAGACTGAGAGTGACTTCTCCGTCCCTCGGACGCCCCCTAACCTGTCGGTGCCTAGCGTGAGCCTAGCATGTCACAGTTGTGCACTACTCGACCTCCCATGAGTAACCTCGTCTCATCCCTACATCTCCGCTCCGCACCCACATGGCTTCCGCCAGTGATCAGTGAATTGCAGGGTTAGTGTGGTCCATGGGTTCTTTGTTTGATGGTGAGCGTCTCTGCTTTCCTGCCCCGCAGATCGCCACCTCACAGAACCGAATCTATCTCACCGCTGACAACCTTGTGCTCAACCTGCAGGATGAAAGCTTCACCCGGTGAGAGCCGTGACCTGCACGGCAAGGTGTTGGGAAGGCTGTAGCAGCCCAGTGGGCCTTTGGGCTGCTTGTTCATGCGACCCTTAGAAGACTCCACTTGGCTGAACCAAAGTTAGAAACGTGGGAGGTTGTCTCTTACTATCTTGCATCTTGTATGATTGATTTTATGAGATCAAATAGGATTTTTCACGTGGAAGGTAATCGTAAAGTCCTGTTTAACTGGAAAGCAGTGAGGGTTATTGTTCTTCCTGGAGAGCCCTAAGTCTGCTGCTGAGCATGGAAGGGTTTGGAAGGAGGCTAGGACACAGTGCCAGCAGTCTCTTTCCAGAGCCTGAGGTTCCTGGCTGCCAGCCCTTTGTCTTTTTCTCTGGGGAGCAGAGGAGGGTTTAGAGCTGGGTGGGGCCTGAAACTGCCAAGTCACATGTGTATTTCTCTTCTCTCCCATTTCCTGTTCATCTGGTGATCTGGTATCCACAGGGGAAGGTAAGTTGTTGACACAGCCTTGTTCCTTTGTGGCCCTGCAGCTCTTCCGTGGGTACCTGCCTCCCCCAACGTACCTTTTCCACACATGCACCTTTGGTCTGGGGAGAGCGAGTGGCATGGGGTGCTCTGCCTCTTACATATGTCCCCTAACAGTTTCATCCATCTTATTTCTGCAGTGACAGCCTCATCAAGGGTAAGAAATGAGCCCGGGTGACCAAGAACTCTACCCTCAGAGAGCAAGTGGATTTGTTTCTCCCCTGGTTTTCGAGGAACCAGCCCCCACTCCCCTGTATCATGTGATGGTCCCCTCTGCACCTGACCTCCGGGCCCACGGATGAATGAGAAGACCTGACCCGTTTTCAGGGGAACGACTTTCCTCCTTGTGTGGCCAGGGTTGTTGGGACAGTGTGATTTCTAAATGATTTCCTATAGTGTTTGGTGCCTCCCAAAATTGGGAGGCGATAACCACCATCCCAGGAATTCTCAATAAATTTTTATTACTTAAGCTGGAGTCAAGGCTTTGTGTATGGGGGGGGGGGAAGGAGGGCGCATGCGCACCTCACACAGCCCGCCCCGTTACCTGCCAGCAGGGGGCGTGAGGCCTCTACGCAGGGCAGTTAAGGAAGCACAGGGCCTGACCCCGGCAGCCCAGCCTAGTGGTATCCCATGCTGGGAGCTGCCTGTCCAGCTGCACTCTGCCACGCCCTCCATTTCCACCACAGCACCCTGCCTATTTACCAACATCTCCTTTTTAAGACTGAAGCGGCTGTGGCTTTGCTGAGCTAGACCAAAAAATCTGATGACCCACCAGGAGCTGCTTCTTCCTTGGTAACAGTTCATGTGGCTGTGGAGACCCATTTGTGCACATGAGAAGCCCAGCGGAGGGGTGCTGGCTGCTGCGAGCTACCCAGTCCCTAGACGCGAGCTCTGCCCTTGGAGGCGGGCCCTTCACACCAGAGCAGGTGTCTGCTCAGCCTTCCCAAGCCTGCCTGCCGAATTGCAAGCTCTGGGCGGGGGGAGCCACTGCTTGCACCTGTGTGCCGCCATGGCCCCTCATTGTCCCTGTCCGTATGAGAGGACATTTAGATGCCACTGGGCACAACAAAGTGTGAAGAGGAAGTAGAAAATGTGTGGGAGGGGGAAAGGGGGGATTTAGAGGTTTAGAGGGTCTGGGTTCTTCAGTCGCTTTGATTTTGAAGGAGGGAGGTTCATTTCCCCCCCACACCCCAGACATCGCCCCCCCACCCCCCACCCCATCCCACCCCCCGATCGTATAGCAAACCCACCCCAGAGTTTTCCAGCCAAAGATGAGATTGACAGACAAAAGAAAGGTCAAGTGACCTGAATCAGCCTGCCGAGTGAGTGTCTTTATTTCGAACATTCCCCAGGCGGGAAGGAAACAAGCACCTGGGGAAGGAGCAGGTTTCCAAATCCTGCCCCAGCTCTAGAGGCAGCCATTTTGTTTCCTCCCTATCTAGCCCTTTTCTTAGTGATTTACCTCCCCATCCAGAGGTCTAAAGGTGAGTTGGTGGTGGTCAGAAGGCCACCACAATCTTCAGGGCTTCCTGAAGGTCACTGTTGAAGGAACCAACCCGGGAGCCATCTTTACCAGACAGTGTTAGGAGCTTTACAATTAGACCATCCAACACTGTTCTGGAAGATGGACCCAGAGTCGGCCAACGTGCAGCCCCAGGCTAGAGCTGACCAGTTGCTACACAGACTCTGGCCACAGGCCAGATGAGGCTGCTTGAGAACGCTCGAGTCAATCCCACAAACTCAAGGTCGGCTGAGGGTGCTGGATCCACCAGATGACAAATCACACTGGCTGGGGGAGGGGCTCGAGCCATTGTGTCCCTCCGGTGGGCAACCAGCCAATGAAGAGCCAACTCTGGCCGCACCTTTCATTCCCCTTAAGACGAAGGGGCTTCCAGGGTACTCAGGGAGGTTCCGGAGTGGGGATTACAGCCAGTGGGGCGCGGGGGGCCTAAGGAGATGAATGGCGCTGACACTGGGATGGGGGCCTCCATCATTACCCGGCAGTATTAGAGACTCCCAACCAGCACCCAAACACTGCTGGGTAAGACGGGGTCCCCCACCCAATCCGCTCACCTCCAGGACTGGAAGGCCTAGGCCTAGGCTCCCAGTGGAGAGGCTGCAGAACCTGGTTCCCATCCCCCCACCTCCAGCCTCCCTGGGGACACTTCCGGGTGAGCCCGAAGCCGCCACCAGCCCCACCCAGAGTTGCAGATATCGATTGAGCCCCAGGCCAGACTAAGGGAACCCCCTGCCCCTCCACGCTCCACCTCTAAGCCTCTTGCCTGCCACCCCAGAGCCTGCCCCTGCCCCACACACCAACTCACCCGCCTCCATCCACCTCTGCAGGCCCTGCTCAGCCCCAGGACCCTTCTCCTGATGACTTTTACCTGTCACCCAGCCGCCTGCCCCCTGAGAGTGAGTGCAGAGGACAGCAAGGGGGCTCAGGGCCTGCGTTCCGAGGCCTAGGGCCCGCCTCGGTCCGCTCTTCCTCCTTCCTTCTGCCGCTGCTGCCGCGGCCGGCAGGGCAACGCAGACTCCTCACCTGGGCCCCGCCCGCCGCCCCTGCGCACAGGTGTGTCCTCCTGCCATAGGCTGCCCCCCCACTGCCTTAACCCCTTCCCTCCCAGCGCCAGCAGCAGGCGCCTCCTCTGCCTCCTCTGAGGCCTGCTCACCCCACTAGGCCTCCCACCCTTTCATGGGGTCTCCGCTCGGGGTCCAGCCTCCTGTACATCTAGGGCCTAGACGGGAATGTAGTCTCCAGAGGGCCCATGGGATGGGCTGTCTTTGGGCCCTTTGGCCTTCTTCTTGGGACTGCTCCCCACTTCAGTTCCTGCCTCTGCCCTCCCTCCGCCCCTTCCTCAGTGGCCTCAGACCCTGTACCTGGGCAGTGCAAAAAGGCCAAAAACCCTGAGGTCAGCAAGGGGTCAGCTCAGTAGAGATGAGGTTTGTCCAGTCCCAATGCCAGGCCTGTGCTGGCTGGGCATCCCTGCTTTGGAGGTTCCCCATTCTCACTCCAAATGTTAGGGTACTTACCCCTGCCCAGAGGCCCACACTGGCAGGAGCATCAGCCCTGGCCCTGCCCATTAAAGGAGGAAGCTGCTCTCCCTCAGCCCCCAGAAGTCCTGCTTGGGTTACACCCAGCTTCCCCCTCACCACCTTGTCGGCTCTCCAGAAGGACCCAGCAGGCCTTGGGGCAGAGCTGCTCCAGGACCCAGCTCACAACCCAGTCCAGGTCCCAGCCCCAGGGCGGTTAGCTCCAGGGCGGTTATTAGAGGGGGCGGGGCAGACCTGCCTTCTTTTGTGCAGCTCAAGCTGGAGTAGAAAGGGCGTTGCTGGGAGAGGGGCCCTGAGGCCCACAGGTGATGCCCCACCCACCCACCCCCTGGAGGGCCTTAGCTCCAGGAGCTATTGTGCTGGTTGCCCAATCTGCCTAAGCTCAGCCCGCCCTCTCTCACCTCCTTTGTTTGCATCCTTAATACCTGTCTGTACTTACTTTTGTGGCTGTTTCTGGGTCTGTCTCCTCTACCAGCTTCCTAAGTTCCTGGAACCTGCTGCTTGCTACGTGCCCCCATCACTGCCCCAGTGCCTGCCACACAGCCCCCCCACACCCCCACCCCCATGAAGAAAGCTTGCCAAGCAGGTGGAAGCCAGATCCAAGACCCTCCACCTGCTCCAGCCCCTCCGGCAGGAGGCAGCCAGTTCTCCCTAAGCAGGAAGACCTCTCACTGGCCTAACTCACCCGGAGGCTGGCACTTAAATCAAGATAGAGCCTTCACACAAATAAGGAATCACACAGTGCGCTCTGGACACAGGAGAAGGAAGAAGGGTCCAAAAAATAAATAAAATGTGACCGTGGTTGTGAGCTCAGCAAAGCAAAGCGAGGAGCAGGGCACTCCCACGGCCCTGGGAGCAGAGAGCAGAGGGGATGCCCGGGCCCCTCTGCTAGTGTGGTGCAGGCCTGTGTATATTTTCTTGGACCTAGATATACGCACCAGCAGGATATGGTTGTGTTCCCAGCAAGGTGAACCCTCTCTATGCCTCTCTAGTGTGAGGACTATGGGACTCCAGCCTGAATGCAAATCTTCACTATTCAATGTCTTGTGACCTTGAGCATGTTATTTAATCTCAATGTCCCCCACCACAGAATGGAAATGAGACAAGTATCTGGATTGAATTAACATGGGTAATCTTTTAAACAGTGCCTGACACATGCCCAGCGTGTAGTGAACTACCATGACTACCGCCATCAACGGTCTCAACAACCACCCTTTCCAGGTCACCCTCCACTTTAAAGATTTATTTATTTATGCATACAAGAACTGGGGTACAGGCCAGAGGTGTGAGGGATTGGAGGGTTCACCAGAGACAGAGTGGGGAGCAGAACAGGCAGACGGACTGAAACACACTGCTGAGGGGAGCAGTGGGCAGGAGAGGTCTGCCGCGCCATGTGAGTCATCTCCCTGGCCAGTGGCTGCAGTCCCTGTGTGGCTGCAGGGGCTGTGGATAGCTTCGAAGTGCTGTACTTTAACCTGTTGCGCCAAGAAGGAGGGCCCCACCCGAGGGCCCCACCCTCTGCTTTAAAGGAGAGACTGTGGAGCTGGCCCCCAGTCACATGCCAGGTTGTGAAGCTGAGACAAGAATGAGGTAGGCAGGTGGGGGCTGAGCTTTTATATCCCCACAACCAATCCCAGCCAGCCTCCGCCTCCATCGTCCTCCAGCCCTCCCCAGGTAGGCACACAGAGTTAGAGACCCACACAAGGTGATCCTAGGGCTTTATTTACAAGAGTCGAAGAGCCTGGCCCAGGGGCTGGGTCTTGCTGGGTTATATACAGGGTCAGGGAGGGGAGGTGGGCTCACACTTTTAAATTACAATAGACTGGGGTGGATCCTGGGTCAGGCTGCCGGTCTTCCACACAGGCCTCTGCAGAGCCACAGAGCTGCAGAGAGAAGGGAGGAAGGGGCTGGCTGTAACCTGGGGAGGGAGGCGGCGCTGTGCACAGAGCGTCCAGGGCACGGGGGCTGTACCGTGACTCCTCGGCCTGTCCGCCTCATTTCCTCTTCAGGGAACCTTTGCTCTTCTCTTTGTCTGCAGACCTCTGCTTTTTCACCTTCTCTTCCTTCTTGTTCTTGCTGTGCAGGTTCTCATACAGCTCCTCCTTATGCCTGCAAGGAGTGCAGATCAGGGGACAGGGTGGGGTGACCCAGGATCAGCAGCCCCTCAGAGGCCAGAACAAGGACACCTGGCCTGTGCTTCCACGTGACTGAAACCTCTGTGGGAGCAGAGGTGAGGTGACGTCTCACACGTTAGTGCCTATGTAGGGGGCCCTCAGGTGCTAAGAACCAAGCTCTAACTTGAACCTCCAGGACAGTCACCCTCATCCACTCTGGAAAGTGGAGGTCAGGCTGGGTAGGTGCTGGGAGGTGGCGGGGGGCTCACTCACCTAGAGGAGGTGCGGGAAGCCTTGGCATGGGCATTCTTCATGGCTGGAGGGTAGGTGATGTTCCCATACTCCGACTCCCGGACTTTCTGGGTCTGCAGGCAGAGGTGTAATGGGACGACAGTGTCCGAGAAGGGCCAGGGGATGCCCACTGCCCCCGCAGCCCGAGGGGCCTCACACACACCTGCATGACCTCCAGCTTCTTCTTGGTAGTTTCAATGAACTGGGCAATGGCCACGTAGATGAACTTGTACTGTGCCTCCGTCTGCACCATGCCAGAGCGCTGTGCCCGCACCATCTGGATGGTCTTCTGGATGTCAATGTCACAGTCCAGCCCTAGACAGGGTGGCAGCTGGACTTCAGGCCCAGGCAGAGGGGGACACCAGGGGCTACCCACCTACCTGCCCACCTGCACCCTGCAGGGACCTCTCACCCTTGGTGGAGATGCTCTCCATCAGCATGTCGATGACAATGATGGTGCCAGTGCGGCCAATGCCCGCGCTAGGGGAAGAAGAGGTGCCATCAGCGGCCTCATAACACCTGAGAGGGGGCCCCCCCCGTGCACAACTCCCACACAGGGCAGAGATACCAAAGATCCAGAGCAATGAGAGTGGCCCAGGACACTGAGCAGGCAAGCAAGGGACAGACAGCCCGGCCCCCAGCCCTGCTGCTACTCAGTCAAGGGATTTCAGAGGAAGAGCTTTGAGAGCTCAGATGCGGCCAGCATTCTCCTTCCACTTCTTGTTCTGATTCCCCCTTCCTGGCTGATGGCTGGTGCCCCGCCTCCCCCGCAACCCCAAGCCCAGAACCCCTGTCTCAGCCCCATACCGCTTGCTCCCCAGGCAGCCTGGGCCCTCTGGGCCCTCCCCACACCCAGAGCCTCAACTGGGCCGTGCTCCACTCCCTTAGGTATTTGGGCTGGACCCTGGCAGCAGAGAAGGGCAGTCCTTGAGCCAGCAGCATGTGAGGGGCACCAGGGCCAGGAGATTGGGCCAGCCAGGCAGTAGGAGACTCCCCTCTTCCTCCCCTCTGGAACCTCAGTCCTTGACCAGCAGACCCCAGCCTTGCCCCCTGGCCAGGCCTGTCCATCAGGCCGATGCCCTAAGTTACACTCACTGTCTAATTTCAAACCCAGATTGTCAAAAATAACCCCCCTCACCCACTTCCTTCCTGTAACGTCTAAATAAAGGCCATGGGGATTTCAAGAAGGGGGGGGGTACCAAGAGGAGGGTCGTTCTTGAAGCTGGCCCTGGAGGTCAGAGTAGAGGCCTTTCAGGGTCCAGGCCCCCAGGTCTAGCCCCTCAGCCAGGCCCAGGAGTCTAACAGTTGGTGGTGGGAAGAAGGAAGTCAGGGGCCTCACAGGCCTGGGGTCACATGGAGGGAGCCCAAAAGGAAGAAGACAAAGCAGTTTCCCATTTCCTCCTCCCCTGCCTAATGTGAGCTCGTGAACCATTAACAGTGCCCATTTCTGGAGGATTCACTGTGTTCCAATGATAAGGTCCATTTCATCTTCACAATGACCCTATGAGAGCCTGACTTTTAGTAGAGTAATCTGAGGGTCAGAGAAGTTAAGGAATTTGTTCAAGGTCACACAGTCTATCAGTGGAGGGGCTTGTATAGACCCTGAGGCCTTGGGACCCTGCATCCTAGCCTCCCATCTACCCAGGTCAGCAGCACAAGGCCAATCCAGACTGTAGCCCTCAGACCTGAAGAGACCCCTACTTCCCTAGCTGACACCCCACCTCACCACCTGGGGTCTCCTGATTATGAATACAGGGCTTCTAAAGCCACTCCTCAACCCCCACCCTGGGGCCACCCTAGGGGGCAGTAGCTGGGAAGGGCGAGCAGTAGCCTAAGCAACAGCCAACACCTCCCTCCCACAGCTATAGAAGGATAAAGAGAAGCTTCTCTAACCCCCTGTGGGAGGTCTGGGGGTGGGGGGGTGTGCAGAGAACAAACAGGAGGCGTAGGTCCATGTGGCAGACAGGGGTGACCAGGCCCTCGGGCAATGTGAGCTCCTGTCCAGGCACTCACAGGATTGGGGTGGGGGGCGGGAATGGCAGTTGCTGGACCAGTTTCCTCATCAGTGTCTGGCAGGGTTGGACTAGACAGTACACCCCGGGGAGCCCCAGGCACAGCTTCCAACAGGGACTGGTTGAAGCTCCCCTGGATGTGCAGCCTTCAGGGAACCCAGAAGAGATTGGGGGGCAGGTGCCATTAAAGGAATTACCACGCAAACTGCCTACGACAGTGTCTGGGCCCTCGTATTTACTGGCCTGCCGCTGATTGTATTATTGCTAGTGTGGTTTGTCTCCTGTCCTCACCTGCAATGCACGACGATGGGCCCTGCGTGGGGCAGGCTGTCTTGCCGCTGGTTGATCTGGTCCAGGAAGCTGAGGACGCCCCCAGGCTCACTGGGGACTCCATGGTCAGGCCAGCTCAGGTACTGGTAGTGCCAGATCTCCCGAACCAGGTCCCCCTGGGCCAGGGACACAATGTCAGGGCCCCCCGCTACCCCATATGTCACCCCACCCCACCCACCCTACAAGGCAGGGTGGAGACACTCACATCATTCAGCGGGGAGACCTGTAAGGTGCGGAGTTTGTACTCGGCTGCGTCGTGTTCTCCACAGCTGGTTACAGCATAGGATCCGTAAGCACGCTGAGTGCCTACCTCTGGCCAGTAAGGGACACATTTGTTCTGGAAAGGGGAAGGTCGAGGAGAGGGATGAGGCACGGAGCAGAGTACGGGCCATTTTAGGGCCTGCTCTAGGGCTGGAGTCTTTTCTGTTGGCTGAATAAACTGGCCAGGCTGGGGAGACCTGGGATCTGGTTTTAGCTCAGTGTCCCACCAGCAGTGAGACCTACCCAGCTACTCAACAAACATCAACTAGTGTAGGCATTGTACCTAAAGCGAACTGGGAAGAGGGGTAAACAATTAAGTCTGTGCCCCCATGTCTCCAGGAGCCCACAGAAAGATGAGGAAACAGGACAGTAGCGGCTGCCCAGGAGGGTGGTGGAGGAAGGGCACATTCTCCCTGTAGGTTATGGAGGAAATCAGAGGCGGCTTCATGATGGAGGGAGCACTGCGCTGGGTCTTCAGAAAGGAGGAGTCTGTCCGGCATAGATAGTACAGAGAAAGGAAGTCACGGGGGGTTGTGGGGGGGGGCAGGCGGGTGGCGGCAGTGGAGTAAGTTCCTTCAAAGGTGTGGGGACATGAAGGAGCTGCTCTGGGGGGCACTGAGGACCTCAAAGCAACCAGCAGGCCTGGAGAGGAAGGCTTCAGAGAGAGCCTTCATCTGGAAGACTAGTGGGGGACACTGAAGGGTCTGCAGAGAGGGGCAGCCTGAAGGCAGGGAGGGGCAGACTCCAGAGGGACCGAGGAGGCAAAGGGCCAGGAAGAGCTGCTGCCTGGATAGGCCAGCTGAGGGGAATGTTTGCTTCAGGAGCCTCCAAGAAGAAGGCCTACTTAAAAAGGGTCTGGAGCCCCAAAAGGGGCCCAAGGAAGGAAGCAGGGGCCTGGGAGTCCGTGTGTAGCTAGGGCTTCGTGTCTGTGCCTCAGTTTCCCAGCAAAGGTTGACCCTTACCCTAGGTGCCTGTCTGCCCTGGCATCCAAGTTCCTTTGGCCTCATAGTGGTGGACAAACACTGAGGGGCGGGGGGCAGGGGGAGGGGGGGAGAGGTTGCAGCACAGCCCTACCCGGCCTTTCTCCACCTCCCTGGTGGTCATGACGATGACACGGGTGTTTTCCTGCCAGATCATCTGCCAGAAGTCATTGACAGTGGCATCCAGGCAGCCCTGGCTGGCGATGTAGGTCTTAGCGTTTTCATCAGGGCCTAGCAGCTGATTCTAGGTATAAATGTAGGGATGCAGGACAGGAATGTGAGCCCCTTGGCCCCCGTCACCCTCATCCCCCAAGTCAGTAGCTTTAACTCTGCCCACGTGCTATGTCTGTGGACCTAATGTCCCAGGAGTTGGGGAATCCCCAGGGCCTGGCCTCTCTCCCCGTGCAACCAGCAGGCACCACCGACCTTGACGTAGTTGGCATTGATATAGTCGGACCCGGGAATGTTACTGTCTCGTCCCTGCAGGATTACTCGGCTGTGGTCGACTGGGAGTGAGCAGAGAGAAGGTCCAGGGTCAAACGGGAGCACCCCACTCCTGGGTCAGCCCCTCCCTGAGCTTAAAGGCCAATCTGTCTGAGAAGCCACGAGGCTCGAGCACTGTGGGCAGCAGCGGGGGGACCTGTTTGGGGTATGTGCTGGGAGAGGATTCAGAGGGAGGAGGGATGGGGCCCTGGACAGAAGTAGCAGAGACTTTTGGGAGGAGGAGAGCCTCAGTCAAGTGGGATAAACTGGGGCAGAGATCCCCAAAATTGTGGGAAGGTGGGCCAGGGAAGAAGAGTCTCAAGGAAGACACTTACAGGGGAGAATGTTCTTGTAACGGTTCTTGCTTTTGTTCTCTGGCCTCTGGCCTTCCAGCCGCTGGTGCAAGTTCTTCACCTCCTGCTTCTGAAGACTCTGAGGGGTGAAAGGAGAAGATGGCGCACTGAACCCCTCCCAAGATTACACGGGCCAGATCTGTATGCTTGGTGGGTAGCGAGGAACCGTCCTGCTCGAACACAGCACACACACCTCAAACTCTTCCCAAAATCCGGCCTTGGCCGTCTCCTCTGATTCCTGCTTCTTGTTCAGTTCCAAGACCCGGTTCTCAATGTCAGCCGCATTCACCCGCGTGGCATAGTACGGCTGGGGTGGGGGAGGGTGAGAAGTCAGCCACGTAGCAATCTCAGAGAGCTCCCGAACGGGGACAGCGCAGAATGGGGAGGCTACCAGGCCCACCCTTCACCTGCCGCAGGTAGACGAAGGCGCCTGAGGCCTCCTCAATCCCCGTTTTTTTGAAATGTTCCACCAGGTCTGTGAGGCTGTCAAAGGTCTCTGCACCGCCCACCGTGTAGCGTCCACCCTGCGGAGTACAAAGTCAGGTCACCCACATGGCCCAGTCTCCTTCCCCGACTCCCTGCCTTGGAAGGAGGCCTAACCCACTCTGCCTCCTTCCACCCATGCCTGGCACAGCCGGGAGCCAGCAGCAAGCCTCCCCCACAGCCAAGCCGCCTTACCTCACACATGACCTTGATATGGGTGACCCTGAGCGGGGAGCCTGGGCCGGCCTTGGGCTGGTCGCTGAGTACAGACAGCACGAAATCGCCAGGCTGGCTGAGACTCTCACGCACGAGGAACGTCCAGGGCTCACCCTTGGTCTGCAGCAGTGTCTCTGCCTGGCCCCCAGACATGTGGCCATGGTACCATCTAGAGGAGGCAGTGTCAGACAGGGTGAGGCCTAAGCCTCAGTCACTGAGCAGACTTTCAGAGAGGGGCTAGAGATGAGTGATGAGGCTGGGCCAGGCACCCTGCCAGGTGCTTTCAAATCTACCACATTTAGGTCCATTCCTCTTACAAACATGCCGAGAGATCAGTACTTATCCCCATATCACCCATGAGGAAACGGAGGCTGGGGGGTTGCACACTGGCCTAAGATTTTGCCTGATAACAGGCAAGTCAGGAGTCCCACTAAGGCAGAAAGGCAGGCCAGGTCTAGAATATTTGGCCATCTGGGGAGAAATTGAGGCAGTGGTTCCTTGAAAGACTAGATTGGACCAGAGAAGGAAAGAAACCAAGAGAAATGCAGACATAGGCCAAACCACAGAGAGCTATGAAGAAGGGAGAACTAGAGGTAGTCACAAAGGAGGTACACCAGGGAGAACCCCCCTCCCGCCCCCAGGGAGTCAGGGAAGACAGAAAACACTACAGGGGAAAGAGTCACCTAGGGGGCTCTGGGGTGCCCAGGATGACATCACTGAAGGCAGTCAGGACTCAAAGGGGTTCAGAGGGGCACCAAGGAGCAGAAAGCAGAACTAGGACCTTTCCCCAAAGCACACCCCCTTCCCAGGAGGAAACTGTACCCCACAATGCCCGGCCCCACAGGAAACCACGTGATGGAAAAAACACAAAACTCCTTCTGGGGAGAGAGTGAGAAGTGAGGTTGTGAGGTTTCCTCAGCCCAGGGACCAGGGGAGGGGGGGTGCATTTTCCAACCGCAGGGATGGGGGAAGAAGGGAGGGGCCATCCGTCCAGCACCCCCAGCTCACTCCTGCCCAAAGGAGATTGCAATTCAGAGACCTCAGAGATACTGCCTGGTCCAGGAGCCTCCTGGATCACCCCATTCCACCTCTCAGGGATAGGTCAGAGCCCCCAGGCCACAGAGAGGGGGCTCACCCTCTCCCCTACCCCCCCCCCAGGCCTCAGGATGAGGAAGTTTCCATGCAAATGTCAGGCTGACCACAGGCAAAGAGCTAGCATAGAAGGGAGAAATGCAAATTCCCCAAGAGGCGGAGGGGCAGTAGCCAGAGGCTGGGAGAAAGAGCTCCCCAGCGCCCACACCCCCCCTCCACCCCAGGGTCAGGGGTGAGCCTGCAGGTAACCCAAAGGGCTTCTGGAGTCAGCTTCCCTCATCTTGATTCCCACTAGTCTTGGCTCCTGCAGCTCTCAGGTCCTTCCCAAGCTTCTCCCAAGCAGTGTGAACCCCAGCCTCAGCCTTCTCCCCAGGGGGATGGTCTTGGTTCCTCCCTCCCTCCTACAGCTCCATCCACAACCTGCTGCTTCTCCCTGGTCTCCTCCACCCCTTGCCTTCCAACAGGCTTTGGGCAAGGAAAGAGAAAAGACAAGAAGCTCAAGAGGGCCCAGTGGCAAACCCCCGGGTGGGAAGTGGGAAAAGGGCAAGAAAGACTAAGACAGGCAGCCGTGAACCCAGGCCCGGGCCTTGGCCTTCGCTCCTACAGAGGGGGCTTCCAGGGAAGTAACTAATGGCTTCGTGTTGACTGGGAAAAACTCTCTAGTGGTGGCGGCAATAGTCACCTCCACCTCATTCTGTTGTAAGTTTTAGTCAATGACTTGAGCAAAAATATTGGTGCAGGCTGGGAAGTGAGTCCCTCAGAAAGTGAAAACAGTCAGAATTTAGGGTTGGAATCATTTCAACCATCAACACGGACGCAGAACAAGGGCCAGTTGGCTTGGTCAGGAAAGGGTGGAAAAAACCCTACTTATTCAGCTGCTCTTCCCCAGCATAGGAGCTGTCATTGAGACATAGCTACCAAAACAAAGCAGTGTAGTGGGGGTCCTTGGGGGTCCCCCTCCTGTAATTTATGCTTTATGTAGACTACACAGAGAAGAGGCAGCCCAGGTCTGGGGACCACATCTGCAGTCAAAATGGGGAGAAAGAAATGCCTCGAGTGTTACCTGCACCTACGTAATAGGTCGGCCCTTACATACCCGAGCACACACACACCACAATTTTCAATGACCTGTGCTCAGAGCAAGGGAGCAATCATGCACTATCCAGCCCCAGAAAACAGACCCACCCTATGGGCTGCTGAGATAAGGACCCCAAGTGCCAATGATCCTCCCCTAAACATCTGCCTGGATTCACCTCCACAAGGTGGGGGGAGGGACTAGTTATAGGAAGGTAGATTCAGTTCCACAGGTCTCAGAGCTTTCGAACAACAGAACTGGAACTACCAGCCTGTGGAGGAGGCCAGCCATGAGGAGACTCCTCTGTCACTTGTAGGGCCTGGGTGGCAGCTGGCCAGTTGCTTCCTTGGAGTTAGAGGGAAAAGAGTGGGTGGACAGTGCCCTGAGACGCGGGGTCACATGGAAAAAAGAGGTCCCAGATGCCCCCGGGACAGAAGCAGGTAGGAAGCAGGCTCAGCTGGTGATGGGAGCCAGCCCGTCCTGCCTGGGCTGGATCGGGGAGCCCCTCACCTCTCACTGGTGGGGTCAGAGCAGTTAAGTGGGTACTTGAGGTAGATGATGGTGCCATCGCGGTCCTGTAGGACACCCTGCTGCTGCGTGTAGTACTCCACCAGCTCTGTGAGAGTGGCAAACTTCTCCCCTCCATACAGGTCATAGAAATCTCCGGAGTTCTGGATCCGAATATGAGTCACCTGATCCCTCACCCTGCAGAGCACCAAGTGGGTTATGGGGTGGGCAGCGGCAGACCCCGGGCACACACAGGAATAGGGTGACACAGACAGACGGACACATGGGGACAGAATTGGGGAACCCCACCGCCCTGGGAGAGCCGGGAAGAAGCTGGTGAAACACTGGTTCTGGCAGATATTGCAGCCACGTACCTGACGGAAAGGGAGAAGTCGCCCTGGTTCTTGCGACTAGGCCGCGCCAGGAAGCTCCCGTCCACACCCCGGCCCTTGAGTAGGGTCTCCGCATCTATTCCACTGAGGTCTCGGTGAAACCACCTGAAAGAACCAGGAGTGATCAAGAGGCAGTGAGGCAGGGTCCCACAGGCCCCTGGGTGCCCTAACTGACTCCTTCCGGGGGGGCCGCAGGCCCTTACCTCACCATCCTGGAGAGGGCTCCCCCCTAGGATGGGGGTGCAGGGAACGAGGAGGTGCAGTGAGTCAGGGGAGGAGACCTCTGGAGCTCAGGCTCCCCACGGGGCTCTCAGAGACCAGGCCTCTCGGCACCAGCAGCCCTAGCTCTGGGGCTGCCACTCCACTGGCCTGGGGCAGGCTGCAGGGCGGGGACAGGAAGGGGCGCGGCCGACCCCTTGGGGGAACTCACTCATACTTCTCGTTTTAGAGCAAAGTAGAGAGAAGCTGGGTACAGTGGCAGTGGGGGTGGGGAGACAGCCCACTTTCCACATGTCTGCCCTCCGCATCCTCAGGCGTGTATGACACCAAATAAAAGTGACAACGCACGAAATAAGGACTTCTGTATGCCTTGTGCCCTCCAGACAGAGGTCATGCTCCATATATGTGAAGCCACACAGTCACACGCCTTCTCTTCCTCCACCGGCGGCTTCCACACAGCCTTCCCAGGTCCAGACTACTAATAAGGAAGGTGACAACTATCATTTAATGGAGCCTTATTCCACACCAGGTGCGGTGCCATGCTGCTGTTTACAGGCCTTGTCTGATGTCTTCCTCACAATAGCCCTAAGAAACAAGTACTGCCTCCTCCCCACTTTACAGATAAGGAACCAGAGGCCCAGGGAAGGAAGGGAACTTGCCTCCAGCCATCCGAGTCATCCGGGCAATAAGTGCAGGGCTGGGATGCAAACCTAGATCATCAGGTTCCCGAGCCAGTGATTTTAAGGAAGAAGCCGGCCCTTGGGGCTCCAGAGAACAGAGGCTGGGGAGATTCTGGTCCATTAGGGCCACAGTGGGAAGGGAGAAGTGATGGTGATGCAGGGGCCTACAAAGCAGGGTTACCCCCTTCCTCTGACCTGCACATCGGAGGACGCATCAGGGATAGAGGACCCCAGCACAGCCCAGTCCAGCTGCACCTTTTTGTACTTCTTGGCCCTGGCTTTGGTCCCCTCTGTCCATGTAGTCATAGTCAAGGATGGGCACAGGGGAGGGAGAAGAAGGTGAGGGCAAGCCACCAGCCTCCTCGGGTCTGTCTGCCCTGCTCCTGACTGCAGGATCACATCAGTCTGGTTTAAATCCCCCAGAGCTGAGGGCTGAGGTCACTATCATGGCTGCCATTGACAGAGCTGGTTGACTTTGAGAGGCCCTAAGCACAGAAAGCAAGTGATGTTCCTTTTCTGTGGTTCCCAGAATAAGCATAAACACCCACAAACCAAGACAGGAGGGAAGGACCCCAAGAAAGGATCCATGAGAGCTTCTGGGGTAGCTTCCCCTGGGGTGGACAGTCGTGACCGGAGGGACACTGACTTCTCCCACCTTTTGAATGTCATAATGGGGCTATCATGCATTATTTTTATAAAGATAAGTAAATTGATAGGCAGTTGGCAAGCTCTGTGAATCACTCTCCATCTCAATCTAGGTGGCTCTCACGGGTGTGGATATTTCCATCTGTTAAATATACTGTGCCCCACGGGATTATGGTGATGGTGATGGGAAACCCGTGGGGATTACAATTGAGATGGAAAAAAAAATGTACAAAATGATGTAAAAATAAACTGTTATAAAATAAAAATAATAATAATAATACAATTTTTTAAAATGAAAAAAATATATATATATACTGTGCCTCCCCAAACAATGAGAAAGCTAAGGAAGATTAAAGCCTTCAAAATCTGTTTCCCTAGGATGCTGGCTTTATCACATTTGAGAACACTGAATAACAATTTTCCCCCTCCAAAATCAGGTCTCTCCTCCCACCCCAAGCCCCACCCTTCTTTCTGGTGCATGAGGACCTCGCTCGGCCTGTTGGTTGTGTGGTCTAACACTCACTACCCTTCTACCTTAGACCGCCACACCAAAAGACCGCATGAGGGGCAGGATGGGGTGTTTGCACAGTCAGTTCCACCACAGGGGGGTCCATGGCCCGCCTCACTCATCTCTGAATGCTCACGCTTAGCGTGAGGCCTCACACAGAGCATGTGTCTAATAAACGGGCTCACTGGTGCTCCTGCGTATATATGGTCACCAGGCCCACTTCATGGCCCTACAAACACTCTATGTGACAGGCAGGCAGACACAGAGTCCCACTACATGCATCACACATACCTGGTCCAGTGAGACCCCCTCCTTACCTGGACTCCCCATCCTGATCACCTCCGAAGTCGCAGGTCTGCCTGAGGCTCCCTGGCCTCTGCCCCAGTCTTTCAGGGCTTTAACCCACTTGGTGAGAAAAAAACTAACTGTACCAGAAACTTTTGGCCAGTGAAAGAGACAGGAATTTCTCTGAAGGTGGCAGACCAGAAGACAGACAGACACTAAGGTGAGGCAGGCTGTCCCTGGGCAGGAGAATGAAGCTTCAGTATCTCCCTTCCTTTAGGATAGCTCCCGAAAGTTTACCCTTACACAAATACAACCCTGTGGGGCCCTAGGCAGCCTTGTGATGTAGGAATTATTTCCCTCAGTTTTTAAAGGGAGGAAGACAGGCTTAAGGGCATTGAGAGTCACAAAATCAAATATCTGATCATTAAAAAAGAGAAAATCAGGCCCTCCCTGGTAGTCAATGGGTTAAAGCACAACACTAAGAAGCTAGCGGCAGCTGCTTCAGAGAGTTCAATCCCCGCCTGGGAGGTGACCACATGGCGCCGCAGACCTCTCCTGACCGCCTGCTGCTCCCCTCAGCACTGTACTTCGTCATCAGTCTGCCTGTTCTGCTCCCCACTCTGTCTCTGGCGAATCCTATCACCACCTCTGCACCTCTGGCCTGTACCCCCGTTCTGTATGAATAAATAAGTCAAAGAAAGAAGAGAAAGAAAAGAGAGAAAAGGAAAGAAAAAAAAGAAGGAAAGGAAGGAAGGAAGAAAAAGAATGAAGATCATTCACTTGGAAAACAGGAAGATAAAGTTCAGGTGGGGATGTGGGCAGTGCTGAATGGGAGGTTGTAGGGAGAGCAGACAAATCTCTAGAAAATTATTCAACCTCTCTGAGCCTCAATATCCCTGTTTGCTAAATGGGCTTAACAGTATTTCCCAAACACGAATATAAGAAGCAAAAGAATAGTGGGGTTTCTTGCCAACAGCTTTTACATTACTTTTTTTTCCACTCGCAGGTTACTGATGGATTGCAAACACTGAAAGACAGAAATCAACAGCCCAAAGGAAAAGATGCACAGGGCGAGGCAAGGCAGAGGAGAAAGCTCAGAGTCCCCACGCCTCTGCAGGGAAACAGCTCTCCCTCAGACCTTCCCAACCCAGAGGATCACATTACCAGTCCTCACGCCAGGGCTACTGAGTGGGCCTTAGTAGCTTGTCTTAGACCTGAGACCCAAAGCTAGGAGCCAGGGAGGTTAAATAACTCGTTGAAGTTCCCAATCAAGTGGACCAGCCAGAGCTGTTCGAAGCTGGTGCTCTTGCCTCTGTGCCCCAGCCCTGCCCGGCGGAGTGGGCTTGGGGACAGCCACAGGGGAAGATGGCAGGGGCTGGAGCTCCCTCACGGGTGGCAGGCGGGTGGCCCCTGCCCAGGAGCCTCTGGAGCAGGTTGTGAGCACATGTGGGAGGGGAGCAGAACCATGTGCCGGTGAGATCGGGGACCAGCACAGAAGCAAGCACAAGCCAGGCTGACGGACCAAGAATGGGTTCCGCACAGTGAGGCCTTGACAGCCACCCGGAAGGAAAAGGTTGGTGGCAGAAGCCTGGAAGGGGGCTTATGGGCCAGGAGACTCACTGGGAACCCCACACAGGGCAGGGCTGACACCCGGGAGGGGAGGGTGCAGGGGGGGGGGAGGTGTGTGGCAGAGGTGAGTGTGTGAAACAAGAACCAGCAGGATGTGGGGGTGACCAGCTCCAACAGACCCAGCTGCAGGTCTTCGTCTAGAATATTCCGACTCCAGCACTGCACACTGCCCTGGCTCTGCCTCCCTCTCTGCTGGCTGCTTTGGGGACATGATCCCCTCCCCCTTTATTCTCACAGCAGGACCCTCACAGCAGCTCCCTCTTCCCAGGGGTGGCTGGCTCTTCCTCACCATCAGGTATGGGCTCACCTGTCACTTCCTCAGGAAAGTCCTCCAGGACTCTTCCAGCTGGAGATGCTTTCAGCACCCCCAGCCACCTGCTGGTACATGAAGTGGTTTCATTTTCTGAGTAACACTTCTGAAAAATCTCCATTACCCTATTCATCTCGTTCTCTCTCTAGTCTGCAGCCTCCCACTGAGGTGAAGCTCCCTGAGGGCAAGGCCCCACCTGTCCTGTACACTGCAGCACCAGCCACTGAACAGGACCTGGACTATCACCAACATGCATTGGCCTTATCAGTGAATGGAAGATGCAGGAGATGGGGAGGCCACGGAAATTGAAGGAAAGTGGAAGAAGGACCTGGGGGGCGGGGAAGCTGAGTAGCACTTCCTGGGGTCTGCCTCTCAGACACCCTATATTTCAGGCCATGTGGACTATCCAGGGGAAAAACACCAATGCAGGCAGCAGAGCAGGGGATCAGAGGCTGGGGGGCGTGGGGGGACGGGAATGCAATGGTCTTCTTTCAGAGGAAAAGTAATTTAGACGTGGGAGGTGGGCAGAGGGCATTAATAGGCCTGGGTTCCTCCCATACTAGGGGGAAGCAGTATGTAGGGTCAGGAAGCAGACCCAGGGGATTCAGGGCCACACACCTGTCAGGAGCGAGCATGAACCCTGCTCCCCACCCCCTCCCATCCTAACAGATTGTTGCAGGGGACTTACCCACGGGACAGCATCTCCCCAGAGGGGTGAGTCACAGGCAGAGGGCCACGGGGGCGGGGCCGAGTCAGGGCACAGCTGTGCAGTGGCCCAAAGCAGGTAAGGAAGCGTCTCAGGACCCAGCCTTCCTTCCCAATGCCGCCTGCAGGCCAATGGCAGCTCGGGGACAGGCCCCTGGACTAAAGATCCCCGGAAAAGGGACAGGTGGGGCGGGGCTGGTCTCAGACCGCCCACAGTAGCTGGCTTTCCCCTCCAGCCCCAGCCCCGCTGCTAGGCAGTCCAGCGTCTGCCTGACAGTCCAGGGCCGCCTTCCCTGGGGAGGGGAGGAGCCACCTGGAGCTCCACCTGGAGCCCGCAGGCAGGAGGGTGGGAGGGGGCAAAGACCAGGAAGTAACCCTGGCCCAGAGATCACCGGGCAGTGGAGGAGCCACTCAGAGTGGAGGAGCCACAGGGTCCCGGACCTGCCCAGGAAGCCACCGCAGAGGAGGTGCCCTGGGGCCATGCCCATCCCCTCACCCAGCCCTGGAGCCTACAAGGGATCTAGACAGGGGGTGGGGCAGCCTGGAGAGGTAGGGGGAATCTGGGTTGTGGTCTGGGTCACAAAGGACTGAGGCAGAGGCTGTCACAAGCACATTTATTATCCTCTGGCACACCAAGGTCTTCTCTTCCAGGGCAGGGTCACAGGGAGGGTCAACCCTCAGGAGGCAGTGACGCTGCTACCCGAAGCAGGCCCGTGGGGTGGCAGCGTCATGGGCGGCAGGAACAGGGCCTTCAGTTTGCCTGACAGGCTGGCAATCTCAGGATCCTGGGCTTCGTAGGACTTGACCAAGCGGGCAAACTTAAGGACACCTGCAAGGGGGAGTGGAGTGTCAGCCCACACGGCCGGGGGACAGGTGTGCCCCAGCCAGCAGCTTGAGCATGAGTCACTGCTGCCCCTCCTCCGGTCAGGTGGTTGTCTGCAAAATAGGACACCTGCAGGCCTCTGTCCAATGTGGTTTGGAAAAAGTACATCCTGGTCTACACCAGACAAAACTGGACGGGAGGCGATGAATGAAAATATCGCCGTAGCGTCTCACTCTCGGGTTGGCAATTTGAGTCAAAAGAACCCAAAGTGTGACCGCCCACCCACCCACAAGACCCCAAGTCCCTGACGAGCATGCAAGAGGGCTCTGGCCAGCAGTGGTCAATCAGTAAACCACTTTGAGCACCAACCCCACCCCCCCATATCAGCAAAGAAACTGCACTGCCAATCTGCAGAGATTAGTTAAACAGGAGGTGTTTAGTGATACATTATTCTGCCGACAACGGGGTTCAGGTCCAGTTCTGCTGTGACCTCCAGGCACTAACAACAAGCTCGAGTGTTTCCTCATCTCAAAATGGTCTAACACTGTAACTAATGGCAACTACAAAAGCGCTTAAGAGCCTCACCTGGTGCCAAGGTGAGCCAGCAGACCCTGGACTCTGCGTGCCCCTTATTGTTAGATTATGGCTGCCACCCCGTGGTGAAAAGAGGGATAACGGCCCAGTGGCCCAACGGATCCAATGCCCTCTCCTGGCTTCAACCCACACAGGACCCACGTCCGGCCCACCTTCCCCGTCACAGCTGAAGCCATAGGCTTTGATAACCTCCTGCTGAATCTGCGTGGCCACGGGCAGAACGAATTGCAGCATCTTGCCCATGTCGTTGCACGCGTTGTCCCGAGCTTCGTCCATGCGCACGGCATTCTCCGGGGCCGAGAAGGCCTGGATCACCTCGGCCAGGACCACTGTGCAGAAGCATCCCAGGGAGCATCCGGGGGTCGCCCCGGCGCGGCCCTCGGCCGCAGCCGACAGCGCAAGGAAGAGGGCAGGGAATTAGCAGACTAAGTCGTAGGAACCGGATTATCTCGGCCCGGAAACCACCCCCCTCCCCGCAATCCCGCTACCCCGCTTTAGGGGCAAGGGTCCCTCTCAGAAAAGGAGAGTTCTCGCGCGCCCCTCCCCGGAGAACGCAGCCACGCCTCTCGCCTAGCGGTCTCCGCCGGCCACCCTCCCCGGGTGGGCAGCCCACCCGGTGACTAGGTCGCTTCTCACCCTTGGCCTGCTCGGCGCTCAGGGCCGCGGGTTGGGACGAGGCAGTCGCCATAAAACAAAAGCTGCACGTGCAGCGGAACCAAAGAAACGTTCAGGAATCAACTAGGACGGCGGGGGGCAGAAGGGAAGCAGTAGCAGCCGTAGCCGGAAGCCGCCCGGCGTAGCCCTAGGTCTCCCCACGACAGGAAATAGGAGGTGCCGCCCGGCGTAGCCCTAGGTCTCCCCACGACAGGAAATAGGAGATGCATCGCGTGAGCTACTAGATTTTCAAACCACCGGAAAACGGCATTCGCGCCAACGGCAGATCTCTATTGTTAAGTACAACCCACGTGGGGGCCTTCCGGTGAAAACCGGAAAACCTGCTAGACAAATTCTAAAAGAGCTGTAACACTGCGGGGAGGAGCCTGCGGAGAAGACGGGAGATGCATGAACCCCACTATTGGTGAGGGTGAGCTCAAGGGTGGTAGTCTCTAACTTTTATTGCTGTATAAGCAATGAGAAGCCCTGAAACTTACCGAAGGAAAAGCAGTATTGTCAAGAACTTAATGAAATCATTCATTTCTTGAGTTTGAGAACGTCTGCTACGACTCTATGCAAATTAGATCGATTCTGATTGGCAGGGAGAACCAGACACACCCCTTTCGTTTTTAAGAACGCAGATTGCGGTTTGCTTCCAGAAAACCCGGCAGCTGAAGCGGCTTGCCTGGGTGGTGCGCTGCCGTGCCACTCCCTCTCGCGTGGTTATCTTTCCAGACTCTTGAAGCTGTCACCCACGTCACAAAAACCCTGTGTAAATTCCAGGGTTCTAGTCGTTTGTACCCCTTTGAAACACTGGCCCCTAGACTTCAGCTTCAAACCGGTTCTCCAGCTGTATATAGTGCATGGAAGGATTCAGGGTACTGACAGCACCTCGCTGTGGGTGAAATGGCAGAAGTGCCATGTCGGAGTAGTGGAGCCTGGACCAGGTCAGGCTTGCCTGGGGGCTGGCAGACCGGAACCTCTCCCCCCACACAGACAGCACCTATGAGGGCCCCTCTCCAAATCTCCAGGGTCCCTGCTCCAATGCCTTCCGAAGGTGTGCCCTTTCCCACTTCTCTAGCTGGTGTTGGAGTTCCTGGTGCAGCCAAGCAGAGAACTCCACCTCTGCGCCCACAGCCCGCAAAGAACCAGTCACAGCCATCTTCCTGGGGGGTCGTGAGGATGTTTTTGTTTGGTTGGTTTTGGTTGGGATGTTTTTTAAAGAGCATCATATAGATATTTATATATATAAATTATTAATGGGGAGGGGAAGGGGCATACATCGCAGAGGGGGCGCGCACACTGGGGCTGGGGAGGGGCAGGGGCGCACAAGATGCTACGCAAAACAGCCACATCTAACAGATGAAATAATCACACCAAGGGGGTGGGGGGGCAGAGGGCAGTGGCCACCACGGATTGGGCAAGAGGGAGGAAGAAAGCAGGGGAACAAGGAAGAGGGGCCTGGTCCAAGATGCTGTGCGCTTTCTGCCCCACCCAGGCCATCCCCACCTCGCACACCACGGAAGCTGGGCCTTCCTACCGCCCCCTCCTCTCCTCCCCCACAGTTGCTGAGGCCCTGCAACTGAGCAGCAACCCTCCTTGCTCCAGGAGGCAGGCCAGGAGGGAGGTCTCCAAGGTCCACAAGCAGGGCTGCAGGTACTCTCTTGATCACAGGTTCTACAGCGGCTTGTCGCTCTCTTTCTTCAGGTGACTGGGGAGAGTGAATGCAGAAGAGATAAGAGGTTGCTCAAGTTGGCCCTGCTCACAGAGGATGCCAGAGGACAGGGTTCCAGGAACCTAGTACCCACACCTTATCCCAGCAGGCTGAGAAGACTCGGCCCCTCGGCCTCCCCCCTACCCCCACAGCAATACCTGTAGTAGTCCTCCTGGGCGGGCAGGGGCACACTGTGCAGTGGGTGATGGGCATGCAGCCATTGCTGCTGCTCCAGCGCCAAGCGCTGCAGCTCGGCAGACTGCGCGTGCATGGCCTGCAGCTGGTGAGCAGCCGACATCGGGGCGGAAAGGGAGGCTGGCAGGTCCCGGTAAGGAGCAGCTGTGGGCGAGAAGGGCAGAGGCACATGAGCGATGGGTACTGGATACCTGCTTGGGGCCAGGAGATAGGCAGCACTTTCAGACAGAGGAAACGCACACTTAAAAGGTAATGGCGAGTCCTCTGAGTGGTCACTGGTCTTCAGAATTCAAAACTCTCAGCCTGGCCCTAAAACCTGTGTGCCTCTTTTGGGCAGGGATCCAGAACTCCCACCCCCATTCCCAGATCTGGGTCCTCCTCATCCCTCCCCAAGCCCAACTCTACCCATCCCAGCGCCCAAATTTCTCCTTTCTGTTCTATCAGTAGACCTCCCCCACAAGCCCCCCCCCCCATCCTTACCAAAGAGCTGGTGACGAAGAACTTCGTTCTCGTGCAGAGGGTGAGGAAGAAGGGGGTTCGGGAGAGTCCCAGCTGGGTAGGGGATCCGGGTGAGGTGAGACCCTGAGGCCAGAGGGTCAATGAGAGGGTGCACCGAGGCAGAGGCTGGAGGTTAAAGAAGAAGGTGTCACTAGGAAGAAGGTCTGGGGAAAACATGCATTTGGTGGGTGAGGGAATTCAAGTTTGGGTAGAGAGCTAGATTATCAAACTTAAGGATGAGCCAGGCTCCTACAGGAAGCACAATGGAAGGACTAAGGCTCTGGGGGACAGACAGGCTACAACTAGAGTAGTCTACAATTATCAGCTGTATCTGAGGAAAAGGTGAGAAGTAAATGCTGAGAGGAGATGGAAGAGGAAAAAGTTCAGGAGCTGAGACAAGAGAGGACCTGAGAGAAAGCACAAAAGATCCAGCAATAGATGTTAACTACAAGGGCAGATGGGGCTGCGGTGTGGCACTGTGAAATAAGATGGCAGAAAGGCTGGGGAGAGGGCTGTGAGAAAGGTGGTGGTCCTCCAAAGTTTTCCGCCTGGTCCTCTCTCTTGGGTAGAACTAGACCCTGGAGAAGGCCAGGGTACAGGGAACAGCCTCTGTGCAAGGTTAGGGCATGAGAAGACAGGAGGGGAGAAAACAGAGACGCTAAGAAGAGGGAAGCAATTTCAGTAGGTGGCTCCAGCCAGACTAGAGGAACTGATGAGGCCAATCATGTATCAGGTGGCAAGGTGGGTGGCCCCAAAGGCCCCACATAAGGAAACAGGGTTCTCACCTGCATGGATAGCATCCTGCTGGTGGAGGTGCAGGTGAGAGTGGATGTGGGAGTGCTGGTGGTGATGGGGGGTCACGTTGAGCATCTGCAGCCGTGCCAGGGGGTCATTGCCCAGGGCTGCCACCCTTTCTGCGTGTTGCCTCTCAGCTGCCAGACGCTCGGCATAGGACATGTCAGGCCGCAGGGCTGGCCCAGCTGCCAGCGCTAGACGTTCTCTCTCCAAGGGCCCCAGGCTTGGGTGAAAGGGGAAAGGATGCAGGCCAGGGGGGCCCGGCTGCAGAGCCAGGCCCCCATGTCGAGGGAAGGGATCCAGGCCTGGTCCAGGGACCCCATGTAGGGGTTCCAGCTCACTGGGCTTCACCTCGAAGCCAGGCTTGAGGCGGTCTCGGAGGTCTCGTTCGCGGGCTTCACGCTCCCTCTCGCGGGCTGCTGGGTCACTGCTGTACAGGGCCGGGACATTATAACCCAGAAGCCCCGGGTCCACTGCCCCCAGGGGCACATAAAATGGGTGGTTGCGATTGCCAGGAGACATGACATGGGGCCTGGCGTATTCACTCAGAGTGCGAAGGGCCGGCGTGTCAGGACCTAAGTAGGGGGGCACAGTCGCCACTGCACTGCCTGGCTCGAATGGAGGACGATGGGGCACCGGGCCGAGAGACGGACACTCCACTGGAGCACGACCCTCCTGAGCCAACTTCTGCAGGGTACAGAGAGAAGCAGTCAAGAGAGCAAGACCTGGAACCAGATTAGTCCTGGGCTGCTGCACTAGAACCCAGCCCAAGAGAACTCAGCCCAAGAGAACTGTCCTCCCGCCTTCTCTTCCTGCGACTCACGGTTCCCAGGTAGCCTGCCCGGGGCCTGCCTCCCCCACCCTGGGACCCAATGGATTCCTCGCGGCTCTATTTCCCGGGCTGCAGTGCTTCCTCCTCTCCGACAGGTGGCGAAGCGACTCCCCGCCCCCGAGCCGCGCAGAGGCGGCTGGGCCGAGGCGCTCGGCGCTCGCGTGACGCACTCACCACGCTGCGTTCCAGCTCGCGCTCCTTCTCGCGCTCGCGCTCCTTCTCGCGTTCCCGCTCGCGCTCGCGCTCCTTCTCCTCGCGCGCGCGCTGCTCGGCCTCGCGCCGCACCTTCTCCACCAGGTCGGCCCGCTTCTTGGCCAGCTTGGAGCCCTCCAGCGGCACGAAGTACAGGTCGCTGCGCGCGCACGAGTTAAAGCCGCGGTCCAGGTGTTTGTTGAACCTGTCGGGGACGCAGAGGCAGCGTGCGCTCAGCCCGATGGCTGCCAGGGGACTCCGCGGTGTCGCCGGCCCCGGAAGCGCCCCGTCGGCTCAGGCGTACTCGAAAAGCACAGGAACGCACCCTTCCCCCCCCCCCCCCCCCGCCCGCCTTTGTCGCTATCCGCTCCAGACCCGCCCCCCACCACCACCCCGCTCACCTGGCGGACTGACTGGCATGGCTGGGCACGTCTACCACTTTGGGAGGGGGCGAGGGGCTGCGGGCAGGAGGCACTGGGCTCTCGGGGGCCTCATACTCCTCCGCCGGCTCCTGTTTGATTTGTGCGGCGTTCAGGGGCGGCCCTGAGGCAGGGGCCGCCGGCGGTGGTGGTGGTGGCGGTGGCGGCGGCAGGGATGGCAGGCCCGACGGCCCTGCAGGTGGAAGTGGTCCCGGGCCCACGGTGGGCGAGCCGGGCTTGAAGGTCCCTGGCCCTGCAGGTGGCGAGGCACCTCTATAGCCCGGTGGGGTCCCGGTTCGGAAGGAGGGCGGTGACCCCGGCTTGTATCCTGGTGGGGTCGCTGTCTTGTAGGTTCCTGGGGATGGGGCTCTCTTTCCATAGGGTGGGGGCCCAGGAGGGGAGGCTGTTTTGTAGCCTGCTGGCGAGGAAGCCACCGTGGCAATGACAGTGGAAAGGGTAGCTGAGGAGGTGGTGACCTGAGGCACCGGTGGGAAGGGATAGGATGCCCCTTGGGGGCCCTGGTTAGGGGAAGGGTGTGAACTTGGGTAGGACCCTTGAGAAGAGGAAGAGGAGTTGGAAGAGGAAGAGGAGACTGGAGGGCCATTGGGGCCTGCTTGGCTGTAGGACACCTGGTTGTGAGGTGGAGGCAGATGTGCTGGCCCTGGTGGGTAGGGCCTCAGAGACCCCAGAGAGGGGGACATGGTGTAAGGGTGTGCGTGGTGGGAGCCACTGCTCTCCAGGGGGTGGGGATATGCTCCAGGTGGAGGGGGTCCAGAGTTTCCATGGTGTTGCTGCTGCTGCTGCTGTTGCTGCTGCTGCTGTTGCTGGTGGTGATGGTGATGTGTTGGGGCTGGTGGATGAGCTGCAGATTGGCCCCCCGTGGGAGGAGGGAAGGGACCCGAATGGGCATTGTTGTTGGCTAAGAGTCTGCCATAGGGAGGAGGTGGAGGGGGACCCTGGCTCCATACTGCCTGGGACGGGAGAGAAGGCTGAGTGTACTTGGGTGGTTGATTGGCAACAGAAAGGCTTGTAGGGGGTGGGAAGGAGTGGGGATAACTGGGCAGTGCCTGGGAAGCTGGGTACTGGGAGGCAGAGGAAGAACTGGCAGAGGAGGCTGCTGCAGAGCTACTGCTAGAGGAAGAATATGGATACCTCATGGGTGGAGCTGGGGCAGAAGAGGAGGAAGCAGGAGGCAGAGGGTGAGGTGAAGGAGCTAGAGTGGGGCCTTTCTCTGGGCCAGGAGGAAGTCCACCCATACCCTGCCCCATGGCATGGGGCGAGGGCAGATGCCCAGGTAGTGGCTGGGCCCCCAGACCAGGAGGAGAGGCAGATGCATTGTTAAGGGGTCTCAGAGCAGGAGGGGGAGGCAGGTTTGGTGTCACATGGGGAAAGGTGGCTGGTGGTGGTGCAGAGGGTAAGTTCCCACCACCCACTGGAGTGTTAGGTGGCTTGGTTGGGGGAGCACTGCCAGCCCCAGAGTTTGAGATTGAAATGGGGGTGGTGGGTGGTGGGTGCTGCTTACCCCCACTAGGGGTCCCCACTGAAGAGGCCGCCCCTCCCCCCTTGGGACCCATGGGAGGTCCAGATAAAACTCCTCCACCAGCCCCCCCAGGGTACAGCTGTGGGTGAGGGGGAGGGGCTCCAGGGGGAGCCTGAAACATTCGAGATGGGGGTGGCTCCATGGGAGCATGATATCCAGTGGGTGTCACAGAGGAATGGGGTTCAAAACCAGGCTCTGGCTGTCGGGGGGTGTTGTCTGGGGGTTGGGGGGAGGGAGGAAAGAGTGGAGGTGGGTGGTAGGGGCGGGCTGGACCCTGGGATAAGCCAGAGGATGAGTCGGAGTCATTCTCCACACTTCCAGGGCTGTAGATGCTGGGGGACGTGCTTCGGTTATCCTGGTCAATGTCCCTAGGGTCACTGCTGCCATCATCATTAAGGCTCCGCCCATCTAAACTGTCCAGATCTGAGGGAGACTGTGGCCGTGGGAGCTCCTGCTGTGGAAAAGAGAGGGCATTTTCCCCTTTGCTTCTCCTTCCGTGCTTCCCTTAGAAAATATAGGTGCCTCCTTTGCACAAAGTAATTTATTTCCCCATCACAGTATGCCACTGTATCATGGCTTGATGAATACAAGTGCCCGTGCCCAAGGTCACCTGCACATGGGCACCCTCCACTCTTCCCACATCCTCGGCTCCTTCCCACATCACTCTCCCTCCTTATAACCCCTATTCATTCCTCAAGCTTCCATCTCCCACATCTCCTCCCAATCCACAGCTGAACCCAAATCCCTGTCTTCTGCCAGTTCTCACCTCCTTTACCCTGTAACAATCATCACAGAACCTTATTCTTAAAAAAACTTCCACATGGGGTGGGGTGGGGAATGGGATCAAAAACGGGGGGTGGGGGGGAAGGGGAGAGAAATGCACGGGATTATGGTGATGGCACACGGGTGATTTGGTGATGGGAAACCCGCGGGGATTATAATCGAGATGGAAAAAAAAATGTACAAAAAAAAAAAAAAACTTCTACATGTTCCTCATGATTTGTTTGTTCTATCCGTTAAGACTTCTCCCCCCTAAACCTCCTCCCCCAGCCCCTTCATGAGGATCAGGACCTAGACACGAGAGGCTCCTTTTCCAGTCCCTGCTGGCCCTGCCTGGTCACCTATTGGTCTGGCCAAAGCCCTAAATATGTCTGACAGATGAGAGGAGTTGCTTTGTTTAGCAAGCACCAGGGCTGACTTGCCTCTCATATCCCAGGCAAGTCAATGAAAGTAAAGGTAAGTGAAAGGAGGTTTGGGGAAAAGAATGGCGGAGAAACAGGTCAGGATAACTAGAGGGTCTCCCACCTCGGTTTTGGTCTTTTTTGGTGCACTGGTCTCCTCGCTTTCACTCTCTGAGATCTCCTCACTCCGGCCCTGCTTGCTGACCTTTGGGGTGGAGGCTTCCTCGACTCGGGCCTTCTGTTAGAAAGAAAATTCCCGCCTTAACACCTCCGGAGCCTCTGTCATTATCTTCTGCCAGACAGGAAATTTCCCCTCAGCACCCTCAGCCCAGTGCCCTGGCATGCGGTGAGAGGACCTGAGGACAGAATACCTTGGCTGTCTGCCTAGACTTCTCCGCTTTGCCATCACTGCTGGACGTGCTGACCCCTCCAGGGGAGGCCCGGCCCCTCGATCTCAGTTCTTCCCGGGGCCCAGGGGCCTCTTTCTTCCGTCCACTCCTCATTGACATCTGAGGGAGAGAGAAGGAAGGAGGCAGATAACGTCATTTTTCACATCTAACTTTCTAAGGTCCTTATTTCTATTCTTTCTTGGCCCTTCCCCCTAACTTCCCTGCCCCTCATCTTCCATGTCTCATTTTCGCTATTACTCACTGAGTCTTTATTCTGTCGTGTCTTCATTCTTCAGGCTGTGGAGACCCCATTCTCCTCTGCCTGGGCGGCTGAATACAGAAATGTCTCTGCTTCACCCCTAGTCTCCCACAGCTATGGCCTGGGAGGCAGGAAGCAGGATCTCCAAGTGTTCAGTATAGGCACCTGGAACTAGCAGTATCTGTTTCCAGTGAAGCCTGTGAGGAAAAGACCATCAGACACTCTACAATGGGGAGGCAATCAGGAGGAGAGACTGCTGTGTGTGCAAAAGACAGGACTCGGTGGGCCCCAGGTCTATGACCAAGAAGTGCAGGCCCATAGGACACTACTGGCTGGCCCCCGGGACCATGAAGGAGTCTCTGCTTACAATATTATCTCCATCATCTCCAGAGACACTGGAAAAATCTGATGCACCCTTGAGCCCCAATTCAGGAGATCACACTATTTTACCCAAGGGATCCCTTGGGAATATTTGTGTACACATGAATTCCACAGGGCCTTAAAAGAAGCATAAAGAAATGTAGCTAAAAAAGTAACTAATTGCTTCAGTGCCTTCTTTGTGTTGAGCCTTTATATACACAATTTCATCTAATTTTTCAACCAACCCCCCAAAAAACTTAGTATTCCCATTATATAGGTGGCAAAACTAAGGCTCAAAGACTATGACTTGCCCAACTTCTTTGATAAATACAGTGAAGGAATCGGAATTGAGCCTATGTCTCCCAACTTCAAAGCCCATGCTCACTCTTCTAAACTCTGCTATGCTCTCATCAGAGGTTGCTGGGGAGAATTCTCAGAAAGCCTAGATCAGCTCAGAGATATGAGAAGAATCTTTTTTTCCCATCAGAGTAGGTGGGAGAAGAATGTCCCATTCTACAATGCAGAGCACACAGGCCTGCCTAGCCGACGATCCCCGAGGTGCAGAACTTGGCTTGTGAGAGCTCATAAAGACATCTTCTGTAGTGCCTGGGTTCCCTGGGGCTCACGGAAAAGGCAGGGCTTTCACTTTACCAACCAAATACTCAGTTATCAGTGAGCACATAACATAAACCAACAAATTCTAAAGCTAGCCCCCCACTTGGTATAGACAGGGACACATACCTCCTCACAACCATATAAATATTTATATATTTACCTAGATATATCTATATATAGCCAGCTATTTTCATTTGCACTTGTTAGTTTTCCTGTTAAGTGTCACGTCTCTCCATGTTACTGACCATAGGTTTTTTTGAAGGCAGAAAAAAAAAAAAGTTCTCTTCCTTTCTAGCTCTGCCACAGATGTGTTTATATGGGTGTTCTGTTCTCTCTTTCTTGACCTTTAAACCCACTAACTACAGTAGGTTTTGAATGAAGTGCTGGAGGCCTTGGCGGGTACAGAGTAAGCTTACCCACCTATTCTGAGTTCAGCTCAGAATTCTCCAGCACATGCTCCCCGAGGAGTACAGAGTAATTACTTCTCACTCACCTCCACTGAACCCTACTGAGGCAGGCCTTGTGGGGGTGCCTAACCTTTCCAGGAAACTTAATAACAATTGACCTGGAGTCACAAGACAGCTGGGACAGAGCTCTAGGTCTTCGAAACTTTCAGCTGACTGACACATAGCCCAGTAAACAGCCATTTACCTCAAGTTTATTTTTGAACCGTATAGATTAGTTTTTTAATGTTACCAACCCCCCAAAAAAACTCAGTGAACAAAACCCAACATAAAAGGCAAAAACAATCTTCACGCACATGAACAAAGATGACTTTGTGACAGGTCTGTCCTTGCCAGCCAGTCTGGTGAAGTCCACTTCTCTCCCCATCACAGAACCAGCAACCAAGCCAGTTAAAATAGAGGGATCCAGAAGGTCAGACAACAGAGACAAGTACGTGAAAAAAGTAACCATCAAGCACCCCTTCCTCACCTCAACTTTTTTAATCAGTTGAAATCTGATAAAATTAGCACTGAGTGACTCAGAAGAGCAGTGTAAAAGAATAAGTGATCAGAGAGAAGGAATTAGGAGGGGTTGTATGTGCTTCTGAACCTGGGGCTGTTTCAGCACCCACAAGCTATGCCACACTCCAGCCCCTCCCCCATCTCACTGTAAGTACTATTTATAGAGCACCTACTACCTTTGGGACAGCACACTAGGCACCTTCACTGCCTTACTGCAAGGAAAGTGATAAGGAGCAGGTTGTCAATGTGGAAGATAAGAAATGGGGAAAGAGTCTCTAAAAACAAGAAACAGGGAGAAATCTTCAACGGGATGGCAGAAGATATTACAGGAGGTACAGGGCCTTTCTGGGAAGGGCACGCATGGCCAACTTTTGGAACTCTGGCCCAGCCTCCATCATCATTCTGGCCCAACAAACTAACCAGTCCAACGTGACTCCTAGATAACAAAGACACGACCAGACCAGCAGATAAAAAGGGCTGGTCTAAGCCCTCTTAGAATCCAATGTGGTCAGAGGGGCCTCAGAGATGGTCTATAATCTATAACTTTGCACAATGAAGCTGAGACCCAGAAGTGACTTGCCCAAGGTCATGGTTAGCTAGAGGCACAGCCAGGACTAGCCCTGGGTCTGCTGGCTCCTGTTCCAGAGTATTTCCACTGCATCAGGCAGTTCCACAGCCTCTCCCTTGGGCCACCCTCTCTGGGGATGAACATGGAGAGGCCAGTGATTCCTACAAGGTCAAGGAAACAGATAAGCAAATGTTAGCTGAGGGGAGGAATCACTGCAGGCAGAGTGTGGAAATGAGAAAAAGGAGACTGAAGAGAGACTCAAATGTAAGAAAAATGGAAGAATATTAGTGCACAGAAACAAAAAGACTATTGTATACAAACTGTTCTTAAAAGGAAGGTAGAGAAGCCAGAAAGAATTACCAAAAGATGGTAGAATTTGAACAGGAGTATTTCCACCCTCCACCATGCCTAAGTGGGTGGAGCTTGAAGAAACACCTAAGACAGGCAAGCAACATGTCTACCAGTTCCAACAGACAGCAGCTGGATGGAAGGGGGTGAACCCCCTGGGGAACCGCCTGTCTGCTAGCAGTACCTGCAGAAGTACCAAGGACATGGCCGACGATGGCATTCTAATCAAGGTTCTGAACCTCCACCTACTGGACATCCCACTGGATCTGTGCCATGACAACGAAATGGCAGTACCTGCCCCTCAAGAGTCCATCCCAGGGGTCCCATCTGCCAGCCACTCCCCTCCAGTTGCCAAAGCCAACTCCTACCCTCCCACCGTAGTCTCAGGGAAAGGAGTTTAAGAGTACCAACCCAGGTACAAATAAGCCCCCCAAAACACACACAAAAGGAAATCTTTGCTCGCAGAACAGTCATGAAGAACCACAGCAAACAGAAACCACAGCTAGCATGGCAGTGGGCACTGTGGGGAGGGGGGGTGAGGTCACAACTTGTTTAGAGTGCCTGTAAGATCACGCAATTCTCTCCTGTTTCCACCCTCCCAGAAACCCCTTCTCTCCTAACTCTAGCTTCAGCTTTCAGGGCTTCCCCTCATTAGTTTTAGGAAGAACCACACCATTGGGCCCCAACGTACCCCTCTTCAAGAAGTAACTATGTCTGGGACTGGAAAAACAGGCACGGGGTGAACGGGAGTCGGGAAGAGAAAACTGAGTCACAAAGGCATCATCGCCTGCCCACTTCCCCCCAGGAACACCAAGGGCTCTTCTCAAAGGTGGCCCTCTCCTTGGCCCTTTCCGGGCCTCCGTTTCTCCAGGTTCCGACCTCCTCCCCTTCACCAGCCACAATCCCTCTCTCCACTTACCACACCCCTTCCCCATTTCCCTTCTTTGCCCAGCACCCCCAGGCCCCGGACGCTGAAAGCCGGGTTTGGGCCTTTGGTGCTTTTCCTGGGGCCCTCAAGCCCCACCTCGCTGCCACCTCTCCAATCCTTCTAACCTTCGCCCTGAAGCCCCCTCACAGGCAGCCCCATTTTTCCTCCGTCAACCCTCCCACCTCAGCGTTCCCCGTTTGGACCGGGTCCCCACTGGCCCACCAGCCCTCCTCCTAAGTCCCTCCACCTCCCCGATCCTCTGGGTGCCCCGGCCCCATCCTTCCTCGGAGGCCGGCCCCACCCCCTAGTCCCCAGCTTCCAAGCCCAGCAGTGTCCGCAGTGGGGGGACCCGATCGGGAAAATAACAAATGGAGGCGGCGGTGGCGGGAGGGGGAACTGGGAGGGGTGGGGGTGGGGAGCCGCGGGCCAGAACCCGGGCGGGCCGAGGCCCGGGCGGCGGCGGACCTTACCTGGTGGTAGCTGGGACGGCTGGCTGGCTCCGAGC